TACCACCCACACTCATTCCCAACATTGAACCTACTCCTCTTCCCAGTACAGACGTATGGAATCAACCTGATGGGCTACGACCACATTATTCGGACCAGACCAATGCCTTCATTGACAATGCCCCCATCCCATCGCCGGATCTGGAGGAGGAAGAGACACTTATGGATGAACTGGTGGAAACCCATCTCCCTGAGCCACACCAACATGTTGCTGCTCCGCCTCCTGATGTTTTACCTGCACCTTCGAAGCTTTCTACTAGAACACCATCACCGCCAAGTCGCAAACAGAAAGCCAAATCCGCTCCAAAGGCTCCTGCCAAGCGTCGTCGCCGACGTGACCAATCCCGATCCCGCTCCTCGAGCCCACTGTCACTCTGGACCTCTGAAGACAAACAGAAACTACGCACTCTGAAGGCTGATGAGAAATCTCGATTTTCATGGAAGGTGATCTCGACCAAGATGGGCAAGTCTGAAGAAGATGTTCGCTCTATGTGGAATAAGATCAAAGACCAACTTGGCTGACCACTGACATATGCGAACCAAAAGAAAAAGGTACGTTGCGGTACGGTATTACTGTTTCACCAACCATTTGGTCTTCCTTTTGGGAATTTTTCTTCTTGTTAATCTTCAGAACCATGGGCGCTGTTGTCCCATTGAATTCTGACACGTCGTATCACACAACCCGCCAGCCATTTATTATGTCTCTCCGCGTTCACCTGGACCGCTATTGCCAACAGCGAGCTATGTCCCACGAGAGGATCTCACCTACACGACGCTCACGCTCTCCAACCAGGACTTCATCTTCCGCTATGGGCTCTACGTCAGTTCAGCACCCACCCAACCGGTCTTCGCCTCCGACACCTCACCGACCGGTTATTTTCCAGTTGGACCTGAAGCCGATGCAACAACTGGCCGTACGCAACCCCTATTACAACATCTTGACCCCCAAGGTCGCGGGCAACCTTCCTACGGCCACCTACGACAGCTTGTTCCAGACGTTCAAGGTGATCTACCCGGACTATGCTCGCAGTCATTTCGTTTCAGACCTCAAAACCGTAGTCACCGACACATTGCTACAACGCTGGTCGATACACCTACCAGCGTCGGAGTTCTACATGATGATTGACACCGATCAAGGAGCTCAGATGCTTGACGACCTTCCTCATTCTCTTCTGGATGTTTTGAATTGGTTCTACCCGAGATGGAAAACTCATCAACATCTCGATGCCTTCACGACCCGTGAGTGTTCACCGTTGCTGCTGACACCCCATCCAGATGCACAAGACACCGGCTTTGCTGTACATGTTCAAGTGATTCCCCGTGGGCATCCATTCGTCACGGCCACCCGATACACTAAAGCCGCTGAGTGATTAGCTGTCTTGATGGATCTTGGCACGGCTCATGTCTATGAGGAAAAAAGACCAACATTCGTTATGATGTCCACCATCCTGGTTCTGATTTTCCCTTGTGTCATCCTTTTCTCGTTTTCCATTGGGTGATATTCGTTATTTATTCCTTCATCATTGACCTTCCCCACGGCCTTTTGGCTTCAGTTCAGTATTTCTCGTTATCATACTCTTGTGATCGTACATGATGACCTCCAACACGGATGATCCTGCTCGATTGGTCTCGTACCGTTCACCACCTACATCCATACATGGCCTTGCCTCACACTTGCCACCTGATGATCCTACCTCGGCATCCTATATTCCTCGTGCAGCGAGAATGATTCCGACCTCTACCACTGTCCACTCCGTCTTCATCAAGAAGCTGAGCTATCCTTTGTCTAACCGTTCAGATGAACTTTGGATCGTGGAAAGGACACTTGATGGTCTTGAAACGTGGAAACCAGTGGAAACATTTCTGGAGAACATGCACCTCACCAACGACCAGGCGACCCTGCGTACTACAGCTAACCATTGGCGCAGATACTATGACGTACCAATTCAATCATCATCCTCCTCCTCTACGGCAACTACTGTTCCCGTTTTACCACACCCTGAACACTCCAACGTCTATGTCTCACAGCCGTACGAAGCGATACCGGACCACCTCCATATTTTACAGTCATGCTGGGGACGCTCTGCCCAACATCATTCTCAAGGAACTACTACCTCTTTATATTGGCCACCTTGGCGGTCTACACCACCTTCTTCCCCACCGGCAACACTACAACGTACTGTACATCTCACTCGCCCCGCTGTCCCTCCTCAACAATTGCATGGTCCGCTGGATGCGAACGATATTGACCCGATGGATATGTCGGACTCAAGTGTGTAATATACCACATTATTTGTCGGCAGGAAAAAGACCTGTGATTCATCGTCTCTTTGTGTGACCATTTACTAGGTACACCGTTTCTCTTCCATTTCCAACACTTTGAGCTTGTTTCTGTGGCCATTCCAACCCATTTTGCAGCTTGGGCTTTTCGCTTTATCCTCGATACTTCACATTCGACGCAATGGCTCGTTCTTCTCGACCCAATCCATATCGCGCTACATCCACGATTGAGACACCGCTTGGTACACGAACCGTTGGATGGATTGCTGGACATCGAGGCCTTCCTGGTGATGCGAACCCTCCTCCAAACAGACCTGTCCTTATCTTGGTTGACTTCTCTCCCCTACAGGCATTGACTCACCGAAGCGAACCTGACCGTGAACACTACATGGCTCTGGTGAACTCCAATTTTAGACATGTCAGTGGCTTTGAACTTGCAGCTTTGTTTACCTGGTCACGTCAGATGGAACCAGTTGAAGCTGGCCTCATCCCAATTGCCGAACTTCGCTTCTGTATTTCCAAAAGATTGAGGTCCCAATGGGACATCCAAATTGATCCCTCGAATCTGGAGTTTCGCTTTTGCGACCTGGACGGTGATACATTCCAAGTTTCCAATGATATGACGGTCTTGCAGCTTTTGGAGGCATACCGACCTGAATGGCGACTTCGGCAGTACAACTCCCGCGAATCTTCGTTCCTCATTCCGGGTACCAGACAGCCTTTCGTACTACGTTTGCAATGCTACAAAATTAGCTCCGGTGTGATCCTGCCCTGATACGCTAGCCGGCCAAAAAAGACCATGCTTCAGGGTTTTCAATTCTTCCTTGACACCCCACTAACACAAAGGATTCTTCGATTTCTATTTTATTCGACTTTGAGCTGTGGCTTCTCCGTCGCAATTGACCCACTTGATTGAGGACTGGATTTCACTTTTATCATTTTTGTGAATATTATCATTTTCGGGATTGGCTTTTTTCTGCAATTCTTGATGCTTCAGCCGTTGTTGCACTATTTCTCGCATTTGTGACAGTTTCACCCATGGAACACAAACGAGACGCGACCGTGGCGGGCTTGTCTTGGCCTTCGAATCCTACCCGTGGACTCGCTCCTACCAATCCAGTTCAAGTACCCGACGCCCAGACTTCTGCACTATGTCACTCAGGAGCTCCCGACACTACGACCAACCCTACGTCGGCACCTTTGGTAACTGACAGTACGGCACCTGCCACGGGTACTATGGCCCATCCTGATACATATTCAGGACCAGCACCTCCTTGCGTCCCGTTTCCAATGGAGTCAAGTTCTGCACACAACTACCTCCATCGTGCTCAATTCTCTTCTCGCGTGGTTCACCAGATCCAGTTCAAGGTCATTACCCACTCCAACAACACCAGGGAGCTTTTTATTGAAGAAATCCCCTTGCTAGGGCATTCCCGATGTCGTGACCCTGAACACTACTTTTATGGTCTTTCGGGCAACTGTGAGTGGTCCCTACGTACAGCGGACTATTGGCGACATCATTTCGAGATTCCCCTTGTACACGGACACCATCCTTTTCACAATGTGCCCATTGAGACGACATCTCCAGCAGATGAACCGAGCCTTACCACCCGGATCCATGAATTAGCCAAGGATCTTTCTGATACCTTGAAGGCTGCTACGGCATCTGGGGAATTCAATGAGACGTGGGCGATGGTTGAACGCATGAGCTTCCACGATGCTTTCGAAGTCCTTCTACAAGCTCCGAATTCTTCTTCTTCTGACTGAAGTGATCGCCCGTTTGTACATTCGGTTTTTACAGGTTCACTCTCACTGGTGTATTGCCGATTCCGCCAGCGAAGTTCTTCCAAAAAAATCCAACCTCGCTATATGCGAGGTGTGTGTGTACCATCTGAACAGATGTAAAACTTCTTATTGGTTTTCACTAGTTTGCAGGGGGCGACAGGGTCGCTGCATGGCTGTCGCCAACGAAGCTCCATGCAGTTGACTAGGATATGGAGTCTGATCAACTCCACGTACCTGCCTTTTTTCGGACATAGCAAGGGGCCAAGCTAAGAACCCCAACCACAATATTATACAATTTGCTGCACTGTTGTCGCAATCTGGAATCAATTTTGACATTTACATGCATCAGAACTTTCCTCAGATTTTCGCCGAAAACCACATCGCCGACAGTATTATGTTTTTTGATCTATTTTCGCCGAGATCATGTCGCCGACGAACTGTGGGTCCTTTTGGGAAACAATCGCCGAAACATTATTGTGGATTCTCAACATGCTGGTTAAAACTCTATGGAATCTGGTTATGACTTCGTTTGACAATATTGGATGCCCTACATCGTTTTCGTGAAGTACCTCATTTGGCTCCTTTACTAATCTAACGATCTAGGCTGGTTTGCATGTTTCAGGATTCAGTTCCTGCCGGATCATATAATGATCCATTCTTGTCTAGTGTGTGTGTGTGGTGTGTGTGTGTTTGTGTGTGTGTGTTTTTTTTTTGGGGGTTCCCTCTTTCCCCCCGTTTTTTTTCCCCCCCCTTTTTGTGTTTGGTCTTCTTGCTGTTGTTGTTGTTGTTCTTGTGGTTGTCGTCGTCGTCGTCGTCGTCGTTGTCGTCGTCGTCGCTGTCGCCGCCGTCGTCGCCGTCGTCGTCGCCGTCGTCTGCGTCGGCGTCGTCGTCGTGGTTGCTGTGTCCGATTCTAGTCGGTTCGAACCTTCCTCCAAGGTCAGAGCCTTGGCAATGGGGTGTTCCTGGAGCATGGTGTGGCCAAAGGCATTGATTTGAGCACTACGCCATATGGCTATTGGTTGTCCCTGTCGGTTCTCTTGAACACCTATGTCTTGGTGGGTGTGGATGGCTGGTGCCCCAAGCAAGTGGCGGATGATTATTTGGAGCTGGTGGAGGAGAAGCTTTTTCATCCCCGCTCTCCTGGCTTGACAGCGGTGGCGGAAGTGGAGATGCAACACCGGCTTCGATGGGTCGAATTGACGAGAGGGCCGGAAGGGTTGACTTTGGGTGAGGCTATCAAGGCCAGCATGTCGGCTTTGGCTGGAGCTTGGCAGTATGGTCCAGAGATGCCCGGGCAAAAGCGAAGGAGAGCATTGGAACCAGACAGGGATTACATCATTCAGGAGGCCAAAGGAGGGGTGGCTTTGTGCCACAGCTGGAACCTGGGCAAATGCAAGGATGAGAAATGTCCACACAGCCGGTTGCACATTTGCGACATCAAGGGATGTGGCAAGCCTCACAGGCGTGTGAACCACACGAAGCCCAAGCAAACCTGAGATGGAGCTGCTTCGGCGACGGGGGTCCATGACATGGCACGCTTTAGTGACAAGGCTGGCGATGTGTCAGCTTTTGAGTGGCGTGGCCTTGGCTTGGAGCCTTTGAACTGTGTCAATTCTGGCATGCAGCTGAGTGATCAGATCTATCCAGCTGATCCTGTTCGTTGCTTGGGCGATCAGCCAGCTGAGTTTTTGGGCATGGCAGCTTCACACCGTTATCAACCTTCTCGCCGAAGGACTTTTGCAGCTACATCACTTACTGCTTCAACTGGTTTGCAACCGACTGGAAGGGCTTTACCGCCTCTGGTGCCCACTGGCCTTGCACCTGACCAGCATTGGCAACGGGCTTGTTTTGGTACTGAGCACCCATTGGCCCAGCTTCCAAACCTGCCGCCCAAACTGTTGCAAGCGGCAGAGCATTTGGAGAGCCTTGGTGGGGGCATTGTGAGTTGGCGCAAGGAGCAAATGAAGCGCATACGCCACTTGGCAGAATCACTTCAGCCTGTGCAAGCGCAGTGGCAGCAGGGCTTGCACCCGCAGGTGCGCCGGATCATTGGGAAGTGGCATCTGCCGCTTCTCCACATCCTTGCAAAAGAAGCTGGCTCGGAGGATCTGTTTTTCAATTTGGATTACAGTGCCGGGGTGCGCTGTGTGGGCCGTGCAGCACACTCATTTGTGATGCCCTTGAAGTTCACCCGGCCGACTCTCTCAGTTGAGGCTCTTCTGAGCCAGGCCAAGGTGCGCAACCCCCAGCTGATAGCGTCGGTCCGGAGTTCGGCGATGCAGAGTTGGACCGGGCCAGTCTGCAGAAGACACAGAATGAGTTGGATTCCAAGGTCATGTTGGGGCCATGGGAAGCGTCCGACCTTCCATCGTGGGTGGCAGTGGTCTCGCGGCGTTTTCCTATCTGGGAGCACCATGGGTCTGCAGGCCGCCGGAAGTGCCGGAACATTGACTAGATGTCAGAGAGCTTGGTCAACGCCACAGTGGAAGACTACGAAACCTATGTGCCCCGCGGCATTGAGCACATTTTGGCACTCATTCGGCACTTGCAGGTCCGTTTTGGCCTTGGTGTGCAGCTAGAGGGCTTCACTGCAGATTTCAAAGCGGCCTACCGACAGGTGGCGGTGTCACCGTCCCAGTACAAGTTTCAGGGGGTGGCATGGTGGGATTGCTTGCGAGCCACAGTGATGATTGGTGTCCTCACAGCGCTGCCTTTTGGAGCTCGTAGAGCGCCAGCCAATTGGGGTCGTTTGGTGCTTTTGCTCATGACAATTGCTTGGCACCATTTCAGCCTGCTGGTCTTGGACTATGTGGACGACGTGAATGGTGTTGAGCCGCATTTTTCTGCAGAGAGTGCGCGGCAAACCTGGGTGGAGCTAGTCAGCTTGCTAGGCCTGACGCTGGACGTGGACAAGTGCAGCTCATCAGCTTCAACATGCTTCGATTCTTTGGGTGTCTCCTGGGCGCTCAGCAGCCCGCACGCTTTGGTGCAGATCTTGCCCAGCCGATTAGCAGCCGATTAGCTGGCCTTCAGGATGACATTCAGGCAATTATCGCTGCTAATTGGCTGCGCCCTGGGCATGCAGCCCGCCTGCGAGGCAAGCTTGGTTTTGCGCTGGTGGCAGCCTTTGGTCGCTTTGGTCGTGCTCAGTTGTCGGCCATCAAGCGACGGCAGTATGCATCGGGCGGCAAGAATTTTCAATTGTCTGCGGTGCTGCGGGCTCAGTTGGAGTGGTGGTTGGTGCATTTGCGCTCCCTTCCTGGTCGCGGGGTGCCCCGCTCGCCAGCTGAGATAATTCTTGGTAGCTTATTCAGATGGAGAAGGCAGTGGGAAAGTGGCGGTATGTCTGACCTTTTTGGATCGAAGCACGGAGTTTTGTTGTGCAGAGGTCCCGCGCTCCATCCAGCAGCGGTGGGGTGGGGTCAACAACATTCACCGCATCGAAGCTGTGGGGCCACCAATTTGCTTCCTGACATGGCCTGAAAAATTGCGAGGGCAGCTGTTGCTGTTTTTCATTGACAACCAATCTGCCTTAGGCAGCATGGTTGGAGGCTGGTCGCATGAGGAGGTACTGAATGACATCACTGCCTTGTCCTGGTCTCTTGCGGCCAGTTTGCAGTGCTTTGTCTTTTTCGAATACGTACCTTCGGCATCCAACATTATTGATGCAGCTAGCCGGGCGCAGTCCACGGCTGACCTTTCTGTTTACTATAATAGAGGTTGGTCCCTGGTCCCGCCATGCACTCCATGGCACAGGCTGCAATGACCGTTTTCCTTGTTCATGGCGAACATTTCTGACACACCGGTTGGTTTCCAATTTGCACAGGGGACACTGAAGGTGCTGTGCAGCATCGATGTAGCAACGAGATCAAAAGAATGCTGTTGCATGCCTGCCTAATTTTGTTTCTGTAATTTCTGTATCCAGTTTTGTTTCATTTTGCTCGACTATCTGTGATCTCGCCAGGCCTGGAGACGGTCGCCTTTGCCACGGGCTTGCCGGATCTGCTGGCTGGCCGAATCTTGGAGGTTGCCAGGGGCGTTTGGTGCCATGAGGCGTGGAAATTGGCACCGTTGCTGAGGCTGAGACGGGTTTCTCCAAAAACATGGAATACCTATGGATACCTCCCCACTGTTGTGGCCATTCTAATAGGTAAAAATAGTGAATAATAGTGATGAACATTGATAAACCAGTTTTTCTTTGGGGTGCGCTATTTTGAGACAAACCGTCACAGCTTGTTTTTTTGCTTGATGGGACAGAAGTGTTGTTGTTAAAGAGGTGCGACGCCCGGTCGGAGTGGTTGCCTCCATCGTACCCTTCAACTTCCCGGCGATGGTGCCGCTGTGGAGTCTTGCCACCGAATTTCTGGCTTCCTCCACCGAAGTAAGTGTCAGTGTCAGAGTGGAGATGCATTCCATCGTGACTCTTCCAGAAAGGCTTTCCCTGACTGAGTGCTTGAAGTCTGCAGACATGAGGGAAGCAACTGACTTTCATGTAATGAATGCCACTGGACTAAATGGTCCTTCCAAAGCAAGGAGAAAAACTTGAAAGGTCAGCTACTACACTTGCTTTGTGTATGTGTGACTGGAAACTTCGATTCTGATCAGATCCATCTATGCTACACTGTTGTGTTGCAAGGACACTTCCCATTGCCATCGGGTGCGGAAATTGCTTCATCATCAAGCCCAGCGAGAAGGTTGCTTGGCTTCTGCGCTTGTTTCGTTTGGGAAGGAGAATCCGTTTGATAATTTTTTGGGGCAGTACTAGGGCTTTCCAGACTTTCCAGCTACAGGTTCCAAGTGAAGGCTTCATAAGGTTCAAGGAGATTCAAGGAGACTTTACATGAGGTGGCCAAGGAAAGCTGTGCAGTCTTTAGAGGCTTGCATTTCAATAGTCAGTCAAGTCCAGTTCAGTTTCTTAATGTGCGGTCTACTGTGCTCCAGAGAAACTTCCAAGGTTCCTCTTACTCTAATGAGAATGGCAGAGCTCTTGCAGGAAGCAGGATTGCCTCCAGGTGCAACGAGTATTGGTGAATACGGTGAATACAAGATGTGAACATATGTGAACCGTGTATTTTGTTGCCAACAAGTGTCTTTTCCTCTTGGGCAGCAATGCTGTGTTTTTGAGATTCACATGTTGTGCATGGTCATAATTTTGATTTGTGGTTTCCCATCAGGCCAAAAGGTTAGCAAAGCCATAGAAATGAAAAAGACACATTTTGGAGCTTGGGACTCTCCGACCTGTCGGTCTGTGAAGATTTCAGCTGGATTGAAATCTACAAAGGTGTACTCTCGGTGGTGCACGGCTCGCAAAACGTGGCCAAGGCTCCTGCTTGACATGTGCACGGATGAAAGCACAAGCCAAACATGGCGTTGACGTGGGTCGTTGCAGAATCCAGAATGACTGCCAGAATCCATCCGTGACTCTATGTGGATTTATGTGGATGATATATGTGGTGTTTTGGAGGAAGCAGCAAGCTCTGTGACATTCAAGAGTCAGTAGCTTCAAATACGACTCGTTGGAATCCATTGAAATCATCAGGCTTTAGCAGAAAATCCGAAGATCTCTGCTGTGTCGTTCGTGGGAAGCTCCAGAGTGGCCGTGCCTTGACAGTTGTTGCAGTGCAGGGGATGTCAGATAGGAAACTTGTCCACCGGTTTGAACATCGCCGCCCCAGTTCAGCTGAAGCCACTTTAGTCCTGAAGACAAGCAGATACTAAGAGAGTTTGTAATATGATGCATGTTACAGTGTCAAACTGCTTTCTCACAGACAAATTGCCTAAGCATCTTTGTTGGCTCCCTTTGTTTGCAAGCCTCGAGGATATCATCGATAAGACAGCTCGAAGTGCAGGAAAGCGCGCACTTTGCATGGGTGGCGCCAAGAATCATCTCATTGCTATGCCTGACTGCGACGAGGAGTCGGGTGCGCATGCAAATCTGGGGTTGGTCAAGGTTGGAAGGTATTTTGTACAGGACTATTCAAGTCCCTAGCACCTGCAATTCGAAGGGCCAGGAAAACGGACAGAAGAGTTTTCACTGCTCCTGAGATGCTCGTGCAAACCTTCCAGGCCTCACTGTGCTTGCTGCACCTTTCAATGCAGGACATGACAATCAGTGACATCATGAACTCAGCCTTTGGATCTGCAGGGCAACGATGCATGGCAGCGAGCATTCTTATTGTTGTGGGAAAAGGCAAAAGGGCAGAGGAGGGATCTGAAGATCTTTGTTTGATGGATGATCGGGATGTTGAACATATTTTTTTGCAGGCTTTTCAACTATTTAAACATTTTTTACGCAATTTCACACCATTTCACACAATTTCACACGTTCATAATGTAGTTCCCCGAGTCTCTAGATTTTAACAAAGGTGCAACTCGGCACTCCTGCCTTCCTTCCTTCCTTCCTTCCTTCCTTCCTTCCTTCCTTCCTTCCTCTCTTTCATCCTGTCCTCTTCCTCTTGCGCCTATTCCTGCTCCACCGGATGTCAGCCTTGTCTTTCCAAGCCATGTGGCGAGCGGGGCACGCCTGGAGCCGAACACCATATCGCCAGCTCCAGTTGCTGTGGGGCACGCCTGCACCCCAACAGCCAGCTCCGGATGCTGTGGGGGACGTCTGGAGCCGAATGCCAGAAAGAATGTCGGAAAGAATATCAGATAGAATGTCAGATAGAATGTAAGAATAGATGCCAGGTAGAATGCCAGATAGAATGTCAGAACATATGTCACGAAAGGTAGCGTCATCTACCTGAGTTCTCCGTGCTTCAGCACAATCATAGGGGGTATTGGGGGCCAGCCCGGGCCAAACGTAGAATTCTAAGCGTTATGTATTGGATTTCAATTATGCGGGGGGGTCCACCCGTACGATGGACAGTTCGAGGCTATTTGGCAGTTAGGAGCTACTCTTATATGTATTCACCCAGTAGTATTATAGTAAATGAAGGCTACCCGATCTTGTCTTTATGATGCCAGGCTGCTTGATCTTATCTACTTCATGCTGCGCTGCTTCACCCTCCCCACCTCATGTCAAACTGCTTGATGTCGTGTACATCAGGTTATGCTATTTGATCTGTTCTTCATGATGCTAGGCTGCTTGGTCTTCTCTATCTCCTGTTACGCTGCTGGATCTTCCCACCTCATGTCAAGCTGCTTGATGTCCCCTAAATCGTGTTATGCTTTTTGTTTTTTTCATGCTACGCTACTTCACCACATCAGATCTTTGATTTTTGATAGTTTGATCTTGCCTTGGCGATGCTACACTGCTCGACCTTGACTACCTCATGTTGTGCTGCCTGATGTCCCCTACATCAGGTTGTGCTTTTTGATCTGGTCTGCATGGTGCTAGGCTGCTTGATCTTCTCCGCCTCATGCTGCCGCTTGATCTCCCCTGCTTCATGTTATGCTGCTTGATCTTCTCTAAATCATGTTATGCTACTCGATCTGGTCTTCATAATGCCACGCTGCTTGATTGTCTCTACCTCATGCTACGCTGCTGAACCTTCCCTACCGTATGTTATGTTTCTTGGTGTTCCGTGTCTCATGTTATGCTGTTTGATCTTGTCATCAAGACGGTACGCTGCTTGATCTTTTTTACCTCGTGCTACGTTCTTGACCTTCCTTTGTTATGTTGCTTGTGTTCTCTATATATTGTTGAGTTTTTTTTTGTATGGTCTTCATGCTGCTACACCGCCTGACCTTCTCTTCCTCTTGTTAGACTTCTCGGGCATCCCTACCTCATGTGATGCTGCTTTCTGTATCATACTGTGCTATTCGGTCTCGCCCTCATGATGCTACGCTGCATGATTCCCTACGTCAAACTACGCTGCTTGACCTTCCCTAACTGATGTTATGCTGCTTCATGTTCTTACATCAGATCGTGTTACGCTGTTTGGTCTTGTCTTCATGATGCTATGCTGCCTGGTCTTGTCTACATCATGCCTTGCTACAAAGCGAATGAATTTCATCAGCATAGGTTTTAGCACCCAAAATTATTCTGGGAGCACAAGTTTTTCGTGTTTGGCATCAGCAGCGTGACTAGTTGCCATTTCTGGTTTCAGCTAGAAAAAAGCGCTGGCGAGGTGAGGCACCCAAAATTGCAGATTCTGTGACGGAACTGATGGTCAAAAGACAACAACTCACTTTCATCAAGCAGAAACCAACTCACGTTCATATATTTTTTACCTCGCTGCCAAAGCGTGCATAAGCGCTCTTGGAATAAAGAGACGGGCACGCCCTCAAACCTTTCGCTGTCAAGCAAAACCCGCGCAGCACCTGGTAAGTCTTGTGTATACTTCATCCGCCAAATAAACGCTAAGCGTCCATAGCACGGGGTCCCCCTCCCTTGAAATGGTCATGGGTTCAACTCCCACGTTACCCGAGGCACACCCTCCATACTCTCCATGAGGAGATGTCCCTGTAGTCCAGCACAATTGGCATGTTTCAGCCTCAGAGATGGTTGCTGCAAGGGGTCTTATAAAGGGGTTTTAAATAAACCCCTTTTCGTGCATCATTTCACGCTGCACAAGACACTGCATCATGCAGCCATGCTCTGGATAGAACATCTTACTGTATTAAAAATCTTTTTTTGAACAGCTGGACGACGTTCTTATTTAAAATCTCTTTTTTTCGATACACCAACACCGGTTTTGCGCAGTCTAAGATGATTTTATCCAGAACATGACTGCATGATACAGTGCCTTGTGCAGCGTGAAATGATGCACGAAAAGGTGTTCATTTACAGAAAAGGACGCCAGCAGGGCACCAATTTACCACGTTTCTAAAAATGCAGTGTTTTGAGGTGTGTTAAAAAAAACGCATTTGGAAAAAAAATATATGTTTGCTTTACAGCTTTCTCATTGAGTATCTAAAAAGGTATCGTTTGTTGTTTTGAAAGAAAAATAAATTTGATTGATTATATAGAGCGTCTTGGAAAGTCTAAAGCTCCAGAATGCATAGAAAGAAAGTGACTGATCCTAGGGAATACAAAAAACATATATACACAATATATATATATGTATATGTATATATATATGTATATATATATACATACGTATACGTATATATATATATACATATATATATATATTTAGGACCCTCCCTTAGTCTATATATATATATGTATATTTGTTTTTTGAGACTCTGCTTAGACCCAGACCCCCTTTGTTCATTCTAAAAAGGGCGTCATCAGTAAAAGATATACACGTAAGAATTTTGCAGACTCATTATCCTTAGAACAATGCTAACTATCACCCATCTCATCTTGGATGAGATATTTTTTCGATTTTCTTCACTGGATGGCAAGGACATACTAAGCTTGGAAAGGAAAAACACTATGTCTTAGGGCCATGTTGTGCCACTACAAGGGCGAGTGTATGATATTCAAAAGTTGCACAGGAAGAAAACAGGATGGAAAGTAGAACAGTTATACATACATATCTATATACATATCTATATAAATATCTATATACATATCTATATAAATATCTATATACATATCTATATACATATCTATATACATACATATTATATATATATCATATTTGAAGAAAATCGTTTAGTTCAAAAACATGCTACATTTGTCATGGCCATGAAACTCAATATTTATTTGAATGAGTAATCTTGAATGACCATCTACAGTCATCCCAGGGGAGCAGGCAGCTAGATCATTTTTTTTTCGTGATTTGCGTAGCCTATTTTCTCTCATTGAGGTCTTTGTGCAGTCCAACTCCACGGATGGGTCAGTTCAAGCTCGATTTCAAATAGAGCCAACAATAATGCTACAACTTTTCAAATCTACAAGGACCAGCTTGCAACGTATGACATGGCGCAATGCAATGATTACTTCTATTTGGTTATTTACAAGGCAATTCAAGAGATAGTTAGGATCACCCTTGCTGCAGTATGTTTATCTGCTGATAATATCTATCGAAAAATGCGGAAAAGTAGGCATACCCTTGAAGATGTTTGCTTGATCAGCACATTCACTCACAAATTTTGATTGCAGGATTTTATGTCCATATTATTTCCATACTGTTTTCATATTTGTTGAAAAATGCATAGCGTAGCATGAAAAGAGCATGATACAACTCACCACTCTGCAAAGGTACTGCCAGTGAAGAACGTGTCATGTGCAATTTCTGTAACACAATGATGAGTCATGTATATGTATGCTATCTGCTTGTGTAGCTAGTGCAGCTTGTATGTGACACTATTTGCAAAGTGTCCTGTTTACCCGCATTGTTGGCGTACCAAGCTTGGTTCTAAGCATTCTTATATATTCCATGCGCACTATATAAAAGTTGAAAAAATGAGTTTGCATTGTACATATGTGAGAAGAGTGATTTGCTCCATGCCTTTTCATGATCGCTATTAGTTTGTGATCAAGCTTGCACTTTTTTGCAAGACTTGGTAGAGCCATTGAAAGCTGTTCACACTTGGGTTAATCTTGGGACAAAACTTGAGTCCTGTAAGGTTTCAAACCCTGATATACCCTTTGCAAGTACAATTGCCTGCATGTCTCATGATGTTGCAAGGCTGTACTTTAGTTTGTTTCTGGTAGAAACCACCAAATTTAAGCAATAGCAATACAGTTGCATGAACAAATTTATATGGTGATGTCAAACGGGCACTTGTTCAACATGGACTATGAGATTTGCTTAGCTTTTCTCATCGACCATTTTTGGGTATTGTAACATGTGTATCAATATATACACATATACATGTTACATGTTCATATGATGAGACACATATTGAATTTGCTACTTGCCATTGGTGTATTTAAACTCTGTTTTTATAAAAGAATAAATAATGTAGAACCAAGGGTATGGGCCCTATCTCCACCCCTACTATGCTATTCTATATGAACTTTCCAGAACCACATGAAATATACAATAGGTAACAATGCAACAGAAACAAAGCAATATAAACAACATAGAAAAATCAAGTACAAAACCTATCAGTAGAAAAAAGCACAGTTTATCAAAAAAACATCACAAAACACTGTAAAAATGGGGCCCTGGTGGCGTCCCTTTCTCTTTATTTAAAACAACTTTTTAAGCGTCAGCTTACCGAGTTCTCCGTGCGTCAGCACAATCATAGGGGGTATTGGCGGGCTATAGTCCGTGCAAAATGTAGAATTCTAATTCTAGGCGTTATGTCTTAGATTTCAATTATAAAGGGGGGGAGATGTCCCTGTAGTCCAGCAAAATTGGCATGTTTCATTTCAGCCTCAGCAACGGTTGCTGCAAGAGGTCTAAAAAAAAGGGTTTTTTAATAAACCCCTTTTCGTGCATTATTTTCACGCTGCACAAGACGCTGTATCATGCAGTCATGCTCTAGTGTTTTTAATAAGATGTTCTTTCCAGAGCATGACTGCATGTTACAGTGTCTTGTGTAGCTTGAAATGATGCACGAAAAGGGGTCTATTAAAAACACCATTTTAAGACTTGTCCAAATCCCAAAATCCATTTCCAAAAGGCTCCTGGCCAGGATTTGGCCCAAAATGGCCGTTTCCAGTCTTTCCTATGTCAGCGGTTTAGTAACCAGCTGGGGCCTGCCCAAATCCAGCGGCCGTTTCCAGTCTTTCCTATGGCAGTGGTTTAATAATCAGCTGGGGCTTGCCCAGCTCCAAAAGATTCCTGGCCGGATTTTGCCGAAAATGGCCGTTTCCAGTGCTTCTTATGTCAGCGAGTCCTTCTTATGTCAACGATTTATTTGCCAACTAGTGCTTGTCCAAATGCCAAAATTCAGCTCCAAAAAAATTCCTGGCCATGATTTTGCCCAAAATTGCCGTTTCCAGTCGTCCCTATGTCAGCGGTTTAATAACCAGATGGGCCCTGCCCAAATGCAAAAATCAACCTCCAAAAGGTTCCTGGCCAGGATTTGGCCCAAAATGGCCGTTTCCAGTTTTTCTTTTGTCAGCGGTTTAATGACCAGCTGGGGTGTGTGCAAAAGGCTCCTTCCTGGCCACCATTTTGCCCAACATGGCCGTTTCCAGCCTTTCTTATGTCAGCGGTCTAATCACCATCTGGGGCCTGCCCAAATGCCAAAATCCAGCTCCAAAAAGTTCCTGGCCGGGATTTGGCCCAAAATTGCCGTTTCCAGTGCTTCTTATGTCAGCGAGTCGTTCTTATGTCAACGATTTAACAGCCAGCTAGTGCCTTTCCAAATGCCAATATCCAGCTCCAAAAAACTCCTGGCCAGGATTTGGCCCAAAATGGTCATTTCCAGTCTTTCCTATGCCAGCGGTTTAATAACCAGCTGGGGCCTGCCCAAATGCCAAAAACCAGCTCCAAAAAGTTCCTGGCCAGGATTTGGCCCAAAATGGCCGTTTCCAGTCTTTCTTTTGTCAGCAGCTGAATAGCCAGGTGGAGACTGCCCAAATGCCAAAATCCAGCTCCAAAACGCTCCAGGCCAGGATTTGGCCCAAAATGCCCGTTTCCATTCTTTCCTATGTCAGCGGTTTAATAGCCAGCCGGGTCCTGTCCAAATGCAAAAATCCAGCTCCAAGAGGTTCTTTGCCACCCCTGCTTGCAGCAACCGTTACTGAGGCTGAAACATACCAATTATGGTGTACTACAGGGACATCTCCCTCATGGAGACTGTGACATTTCCCGCCAGTGCTGAACAAAAGTGGCGCAGCGTTTTCCTTTCCCACTGCACTACCTTTCGTCCGCCTCTGCGTGCTCTCAAGTCAGATATGCTAGAAAGAATGTCAGAATGGATGCCAGATATATAGAATGTTAAGATAATATGTCATGGTGGGGATCATTCGAAGTAAAGGAATTTATATATTGTTCTTCAGCTTATCATGTCTTGACCATGTTTTGACCATGTTTGACCTGGGTTTGCAGGCCGGAAAACTCTCTTGGAAAAGCTGGTGGCCAAGGCTGCTTCCTTAAAGGCTGGACAGGCACCAGGAGAGATCGGACCAATTATTGATCCGCCTGCAGTGCAGCGCATCAGCGGATACGTTGCGAACTGTGAGTCGTGTCTTGGAACTTGTTAACATTTTGTCATTGTATGTTATTGGTGTATATATATATATATATAAATTTGCATACACAATTTATACAATCAACTGCCTGCCGTTTACTGTATATATGTAGAGTTCACATCATGCAACAAGGCAATGGGTGAAACGGGTGACACCCTTACATAACCATTGACCATTCTTCCAAGGCAAGGTGGAAAGATCTTGCTGGATGGACGATCGTGGCAATCCAAGAGTCCCGGCTTCTGGTTCGGTCCTACTGTTCTCCTTCATCAGTCTTCAAAGGCACAGAGCAAGACAAGCAGGGCTCAGGGACAAACAGTGAGAGAAACTATTCAATGCCTGGGTGAGCAACTGGACTGCTAGATCTGAGTTTAACTATATAACATGTCTTGACTGATTTTGACGCATCTCATATCTGTACAAGATTCTAACCTGGTTCTCGGGTAAAAGTGTTGAAGTCTATCGGGCTAGACTGGTGCTGCGGCAGGAGCCAGCGATGCAGGATGAGATCTTTGGCCCAGTGTTATCTGTTCTGGAGGCGACGCGTGCGGTTCTGTCGCTCACTTGCTTACTGCCGCCCAAAAGTTGCCCCACTGCAAACAAAGCTCGCCCAAATGCGGTCCAAACTTACAAAGCAGCTATGCCGATCACTTGTGTCAAAACCAATTCTCCAAGCTTGGCACAGGTCGACACATTCGATGAAGCAGTTGCCATAGAGAACGCAAACCCTTATGGCAATGCAGCTGCTATCTACACCATGTCGGGTCAGACAGCTCTGGAAACAGTGTGGATCTTATTTGCTTCGCAACCAGACTTGCCGGAGTTTGTGTGACTTGCTGTAGCAGAAAGATTGGGAAATCATTCAACTGAGATTTTGGTGGACTAGTGACCAAGGGTCTTGCCATTTGCCAATTGTGATACCTGCAAGGAGAAGCTGGCCGCGGGCATGATTGGTGTGAACATTGGTGTGCCTGTGCCTCGTGAGCCTTTTAGCTTTGGTGGCATTTTGAGATCGAAGTTTGGTGACTCTTCCGACATCACAGGCGAGGGTGGCATCAATTTTTGGACTCAAAACATCAAAATCACCTCCAAATGGCAGCCGCCTAAAAAGCGCGACGTCATCAGTTCGTCCTTCATTTCTTGAGCCCGCTTTTTTGCTGTGGAGCCTGAGCCAGGGCAAAGACTTTTATATGATTTATACAGATTTATACATTATATGATTTATTTGTATATTTTATGTTATAGCCCTATCTTCAAACTGGCCTATTCTCTGCAGAGCCCTGACTTCGTGGATCCCAAAACTTCTGCCAGCTCAGTGCTGGTGATGTGTAAATATCTTTAGCCAGAGACTTTGTTGGAGACTCTTGGCGAAGCGTTGAACAAGTGTTGATTGAAAAAGCCGCAAATTTGCCAGAAAGACTTCTACTTCCAACTCGTTAATTCAGTTGGAGGTGGAATGTGCCGAAATTTGCAAGGTTGAACTTGATCGCATCCTGAGGTTGAACTGACGTGATAGATATCGCTCTGTCTATGGTCTTTTTGATGGAGAAGATGATCATCGAAGGAAGTTTAGAAGTCAAACTTCCGACAAAATGGACAGATGAAAAGCAGAGATGGGAAAAGTCAGCGAAGAGAAAAGAAGAAAGAAGATCAAAAAAGAGAAAGTGTCAGAAGAAAGAAGATCCAGGTGCGCGAAAAGGTAGGAAAGTCGCGAAACACTGTGTTTTTCCAATGATTTGTGGCTCCGGAGGGCGGAGCCATCTGGCCAGATGAGAGATGAAAAAATGCACGCCGTTGTGGCGCGAAGCACATCTCCAAGTCAAAATGTACAAAGCACACCATTGTCGGACCACTTTTGGAAGTTGCGATGTCGAAAAAGTGCACGCCGTTGTGGCGCGAAGCACATTTCCAAGCCAAAATGTACAAAGCACCTCAGCTTCGGAGCACTTTTAGAAGTTGAGATGTCGAAAAAGTGCACGCCGTTGTGGCGCGAAGCACATTTCCAAGCCAAAATGTTGAAAGCACCAGATGTTCGGACCACTTTTTGACATTTGACGTTCAGATGTCGTTTCGCGTGGCAGGCGCAAGGGATTGTGCACCTGGTCAAAAGTGAGCAAAACGTGAAGGTTTTGTAGAATTTCCAAAAACGATAGCAGGCGTGGGACATTTGAAGAGGATCTGCCAAGATGAATTTTCCGTGGCAGGCGCAGTACAAGAGGAATGTTTATCAGAGATGCTAGGAGGTTCGGGCGCTGATTTCCTGAGAGGGGTTGCATTTTGGAGCATCAGATCTTCAGGTATGCTGAGATGATTTTGCGTGACAGGTGCAGCACTTCGTATGACCTGGCCGTGGCAGGCGCAGTACTTTAGACAGGTGGAGCGCAAAAATCGCAAAGCGCATTGGTACGAGGCCGTCAGCTCTGCACTCAACTTTCCATTTTTGAAGGAGGTCTCGCAGAATTGCTTCGTTTTTGATGTTGTTTTTAACGTTGTTAAGTCACAAATTGAGGAAGTCTCTCAGATTTGCTGCGTTTTTAAGCTTGCAGGTAGACAGACAGACAGGCAGACAAACAGATAGATAGATAGATAGATCGATAGATAGATCGACAGACAGACAATTCCTTCTACAACAACTACAACTACCACTACACTAAACTACACTACACTACTGCTACAACTACAAATACAAATATACTACGTTACCTTACCCTACACCAATTACACTACACTACGCGCAGTACATCTCTCTACATCTAATTACACTACACTACACCAATTCACAAACAACTACAACAACAATTGCTACCACAACTACAACTACAATTACAACTACACTATACTACACTAAATACACTGCAGCACACTACAACTACAAATACCATTGCAACTACAACTACAACCACACTACATTACACAACGCTACGCTACACTGATTACATTGCATTACGCTACAACTACAACTGCAGCTGCGATTGCAATTACAACTACCAGTACCACTACATTACACTACACTACGCTACACATACTACACTACAGTACACTACACTACACTACACTGCACTACACTACAACTACAACTACAACTACAACTACATTACCTTACACTAGACTACACTACACTATACCACACTGCACTATACAACACTACACGACATGACGCTGCACTACACTACACTACACTAATTACACCACACCACTACTACAACTGCAACTGCATTTGCAAACACGCTAATTACACTACATTACAGCTACAGCTCCACTACACTACAACTACAGCTACAACTGCAACTACAACTGCAACTACAACTGCACTACACCACACTACATCCAGCAGTTGTGGGTGAGGTGACCGTCCAGGTGACCACTGCAACCATTGCAACCATTCCAAAAAACACAGCTCCAACCACCTTTCGGTCCATCAGTGGATTCTCTCTGCCATCCGTGATTCACAACAACCAATCTCTCCTATAGGCTTCCTATTTTGAAACTTCCGCCACCGCCTTGTGCGGTACTACTGGTACAAGACATAAATCGTAGGATTTTGGGGGTTCGGCAGGTTCCCAATTCTGAAATAACCCCAGATGGCCCATACAAAACCTGATGTATGAACCATGTATGAACCATGGATGAACCATGGCATGCCATTGCATCACGGTTCATGAGTTTCGTGGCATGTGGCATGGCTCAGGTTGGCTGCACGGAGTCCAATGAGGTTTCGCGGCTAGTGAGGAAAGAGCGTTTGTTGAAATGCAAGGGCTGCAAGGGCTGCAAAGATTGTATTGATAAAGCTTTCCGACTGATGTTGCAATCTCAATATCTGCATCTGACAGCTCCATAGGCAGGACATCACTAGCCCCTTTTCGTCCCCGTCGAGGCTCCGAACAATTCTTGCGCAGCTGATTCGTTGAGGAACATGTGCAGATTTCAAGCTGCATTGCAGCCCTGTATTCTGATTGTGTAAACATCTGAACTTGATGTGATTCTGACAGGATTCGCCTGAGGCTTACCGCTGGGACCCATTGGCGCGTCAATTCCAACGCCACCAGGACTGCTGACAGCGTTGGTCTTGGCGTTTGATGCCCGGGAGGCTTCCTAGATTGAAGTCAATAATACAGGATGGAAATCTATGGAGCAAAAATTGGAAAGCCGAAACGTAGGATCTTAATAGTCTGCAACTCTGGCCTTTGGATGCTGCTCTCCAAATTCGCAAGAGTGGCAACCTCAGAAGATCCGGCACTTTCACTGGTGGAAACCGAAGTAGATCCATTTGAATCGTGCCGGTCATACTCGGTGGAAGTGGACGAACCCGTGTGCCTTAGCTTAAATGATGAGTTGGAATGTAACGCACCAACAGGACATTTAGAGAGAGAGAGGGAGAGAGAGAGAGAGAGAGAAATACAGGAATGACATGGCTGGGAAATATAGGCAAATCATGGCAAATCGGGATTCAAATGAGTCGCAACATATTTAAGTTGCAAATTTCTTTTTAGTTTCTACAACCAACTCTGCGAAGGTTGAGAAAAGCAGCAGTTTGTTCACGCAAACCACCATTCAGCCCTCTGCGCCTTCCGCAGCCTTCTCGGCTTTTTGAAGTTATCAACGGCCTCTGCAGTCCTTCTTTGGCGGTGGTGCGGGTGGTGCTTCCGTAAAAGCGGTCCGCCTAGGCTGGTCTGACGTCATGATCAAAAGCCAAGGTCAACACAGATGGTGGGTTAGTGTGTGACACTCCTGAAAAGGGGTTATGCAACCGTGATGGAAGATGGAAGTCTCTACCAATACTTTGCTCAAACTGCTCCTAAAATATTCTTGGGTAGATTCCCTCAAATTGTCGACTTTGGCAATTCAGCTTCTAGTGGGCATCAGCCAACCCGGCGGGGGGGCGAGTGGGGTATGTATAGGCATTGAGAAAAACTGTCAGCATCACAGCGGGGCAAGTACTTAGAAAGTGTTGATGTTTGAAACACCACTGTGAATCACTATGGCCAATAGCGGCCAATAGACTCCACAGTTTCACTTCAGTGTGGCCCAGTGGATGTGGATGCGGGGCGCAAGGCGGGGCGCACGGCGGGACCTTTATGGAGTGTGACTATGACTATTCCCCTCAGGCCCTGGCTGCATTTTGACTCGAGAGCTTCTTCAGTTTGTTTTGACCCAAGGCATAGCCAAAAGACTGTTCAACAGCTCAGCAACAACCAAATGGTTAGGTCTTTCAATCCGTATAAAAGCATCAACACAATTCGTCATTCTTGGCAATTGCTGAGAAAACTTGACATGCCATCATCATCACGAAAGCTAGCTGTGCTAGCTGAAGTTGCTCTTGCTTTAGCAAGGAATAGGCAGGCACCAGGACCATTGGAAACCCTGAAAACTTTCCAGTTAGACACCCACCTGGCAGGCCCATGTTCAATCCCCCCTCATCCCCCACGAGCCCCCCCGAGAGGAGATTTCTGGCTGGTAGAGGGTCATCATCCTCATTTTCATCTTCATCCTCACCCTCCTCATCCTCATCCTCATCATCCTCATCCTCATCCTCATCCTCATCCTCATCATCATCCTCATCATCCTCTTCGTCCTCCTCATCGTTGATCAGCATCCTCATCCCCTGGTCCCGCTGGGCCATTGGTTTGCTGCAGGTATAGGGTCGTCCTCTTCAGTATTTCATCTTCAGGATGTCATGTTCAGTAAACCAGCCAACAGCTCTATAAAATCATCATCGGAAACTTGCCGGCTTCCAAATGATCATAATTATCTTCCTCCTCCTCCTCGTCGTCATCATCAGCATCATCACAATCAACAACATCCTTATCATCATCCTCATCCTCACCCTCCATCCCCACCTCCATCCTCATTCTCATCCTCATCCTCATCATCCTCATCATCCCCATCATCCTCATCATCCTCATCATCCTCATCATCCTCTTCGTCCTCATCATCATCGTCATCAACTCATTCCTGTTACCATCACTTTCGTCATCATCAGTTTCCTTCATCGTTCTGGTCAGCAACCTCATCCACATGAAAAGATTGTGGCACTGTTTGTGACTTGCAGCAACTCTAAAAAACCGCGTGAGACCGTTGCCGCATTCCGACTTCACCTTCCTAATCCCCCTTTACGATTACCACCCCGCCCCAGCCCTGCTAGCTTTCGTACCTCCCCCCTGGCCTCAAGTTGCATATGTTTTGCAATCACTTTGCCGCAGGAGGGGCAATGGCCGACCAATCATATTTTGAACCCTCAGCCGTTTGTAGAGCCACCTGGCTGCAAGCCAACGACTTGAAGCGATATACAAAACCAGGGGGCGGGCTTCTCAAACATATTCTATCTGTTTTGTTTTATTTCTCATTTCCATCTTGGGGGTGCGTCAGGTAGAGCTTTGCGTGCTGCTGACTTTGCGTAGTGTAGTTGCCATCGTTGTCTCCACAGACACAAGTCATCAGTTTCATGAGGCTACTGTAGGCTACCCTGTATGTCGCAACTTAAGGATTGAGGACATGAAGTACACCATTTCTAGGCACGCTGGGCCGACTTTCACAAAACCTGGTGAAGTCAAAGGCTTCCCCTTCAACGAGTACGCTGTGGTCGTGACTCTTTTTCTGGAGAGATAGTAGGTGAACATCGGCTGTAGTTGCAGAGAGATCATAGAACTGTCAGCGGATCATGGGTATTGCAGGCAGCTGCAGAATATCAGTGATCTGCATCAGCGGCAACAATGGCTTCAAAGTCATACTTTTACCCAGCACCTTGGTGGCGCATGGTGGCACTGTGTTATTCTTGGGGGGATGGGCAGCATTGACGATGCCATGGCTGGACTTTTGGCATACACCAGAGAGATGATAATGAGATAGTGCATTTGAAAACAGTGAGATGCACATCTTGATTTGTTCTACTCAGTCTTTCAGAATGCAACTTAGAGGGCGTCATGGTTCACTGTGTCACCATCCTGACAGGATGGAGCACCAACTGCAAATGGAGGCTGGTGGAATGTGGTGAATCTGAGACCTGTATGCTCCAGCATTTGTGTAGACATTTGTAGACCGTTCATAGTGGTGCATCAGAAGGTGGCCGAGAATTTTTGGTGACTGTTCTTTTCCTGCAGGCTCATGTAGAGATGGAACCTCGTTTCGCGGACGTCTCCCAGGTGCGCTAGATGGGAGAGGGCCCTTCGTCCCAAAGTCACCCAATGGCCTTGAGGATGATGTCCACCAGCTTCATACAGCATGAAGCTTTGTGATTTCTGTCAGGCGCAGATGCAAGAGTCTTGGGCGTCCCTGCGCGGCAGATTCATACATTTCCTACACTTTTTGCAGTGCTGGTGGTTAAATGGTCTCACATAATGACCAATGGTCAAAGGAAGGTTAGGTACCAAACTTGAGTTACGGACAGAAGGTCATGGTTGGTCTGGGAAATGAAACAGTGGATCACAGTAGCAATCCAGGAGCGTGTGAATTTGAAACCGTGGAGTGCACGAATCATGATGGTTTTACAAGTCTAGTGGCTCGAGGGATCACCGCGGGAGGGTCTGTGTTTCCGTGGTTTCGGGCCTGGATCTGGAAAAGCTGTTGCAAACAAGTGCAGGAGACTGTTGCTGGAGCTCGATTTGCAATTGAAATCGTTAAAAAATGACAGCCGCAGACCACTTTATGAAGATGAGGCCGCAAAAAAGCACACAGGACTGTAGCGAGAGCTCGGTTTGCTGAAACAATGCTAAAGCATGCTAAAACACTGAGGTGCGCAGGCTACTGCGGAATGGATTGCAACTGGAGGTGACGAAACGCATTGGCACGGCTGCGTGCAGTAAAGCAGTAGACGCTCCTGCTTTGCACTGCAGCTTGAGCTTGCCAAACCTATTGTAACAGCTGCACAAAGATAGTTTTTGAGCATGGCGCCACTCTCGGGCTAGGTGGAATGGCAGCTGGTGGTTGAAAACGCATTGTGCTCGTCTTGCGAAGAGAAGACTCCGATTACGGAACCTACAGAAGAGGTAGCTAAGAGAAGAAGTAGTAGGAGGGGCAGCTCAGAGAAGAAGTAGCTGAGAGAAGTGGTACCTGAGCAAAGCCGCAGATCAACGAAAAGGTCACTCAGTGAAGGAGTAGCTCAGAGAAGACTTGCCTTGGCTTAGGAATGGGTAGCTCAATGACATAGTAACTCATTCATTACATTTCATTTCGTTTTCATTTCATTCAAATTAAGCTAAATTCAATTCAGCTCAGTTCAGTTCAATTCAGTTCCTTTTCATTCAATTTCACCTTATATAATATTATCTCATCTTATTTTACTTGATTTGCTTTTTCATTTCATTGCATCGCATTTCTATTCTATTTTCATTTTATTTCATTTCATGACAAATTTCAGCCATGCTTTCTGTGCACATTGGACCTTGCATCACCTGCTTCCGTGACCAGGTCGATTGCCGTGGAATGACGGCTCGAACCACCCTTCTAAGGATCCTTGGCCGAGACTTTCGCTTTGCCATGATGGGCAAAATAGGCGTGCCTACCTTTCGAATTGCCTCCTAGCTGCAGCGCAACTGGGTGTGTTAAGTTGGCACCGGAGCTTTTTGTGCGCCTAGTGACCCGATGCAGAACCTCGATGAGTTTGTGGCGCAACCACGGGCGCCTTCCCTGAGAGCTGAGAGCTCCGGCAGCGGTTTGCCAGACGCAGATCCACGTGCCTTTGCTGATGAGCCCAATGGTGATGCCCCATTCCGGCATGACCGCTGGGATGGAGAGGATGTCGACTTTGATGGCCCCGAATGGCGCTGTGTGACTTGTGATTCCGCTGGCTGCATAGCTGTGATGGGAGGATGGCAGTGCATTGTTTGTAGCGCCATGGAATTCTATGACCCCAGTGTGCCACAGAGAACTGTTCCACACTCTGGAACTTGGATGTACTTACCACATGGCCAGCCTGAACAATAGTTTCCACTGAATTTCTCAGCCTCCAAGTCTCCAGCTGGTCACAGACTGCGACGCCGACGACAATTTGGAGGTGACAGTCGTAGTGGTCATGCTACCGATTTCCCGAGTCAGAAGTGATGACGCATGATCCTAGGGAAGAACCATGAAGAAGCCAGGCACTTCCTCTTCTGCCACTGCTTCTGCCATCGCAAAGCGCAAGCAGAGTTCTCATTGCTCGGCCTGCGGGGAGCGCGGCCATTGGCAAGATGATGATGTTTGTCCAGTGAAGGGGAAGCAGGAAAGCCATGCCAAAGGCAATGAGCGTGGGCCTCCTTCGAAGCCAAATAGCTCTTCGGCATCAAGTCAAAAGCCGCAGCAAGTGTTTCCAGTGGTTCGCCATGACCGTGGGCATATTGAGATCCATGACACAGAGGACTTTGGCAATGCTTTTGTTTGCAAGATGGTCAACTCACTCAGTTTTCACGTTCATGAAGTACAAGCGTTTTCTTCAGTGGATTTCATCGGCAAGATGATTTTGGACTCAGCTTGTCAGAGAACTTGTTGTGGCAGGCAGTGGTATCAAGCCAATTCCAGCTATCTTGTGGAGAACTTCAAACTCAGGTGCAAGCATATAGAAACCAGTGATCTCTTTCAGTTTGGAAAAGGGGAGCCCACTCAAGCGGATTTTCGCTCCTACATTCCAGTTGGGATAGGCAAGAAACCTCTGATTGTCGCGACAGCAGTTCTTCCTGCCAACATTCCACTTTCGGGTTCCAACAAACTTTTGGAGAAACTTGGCGCAGTCATCGATATGCGAAAGTGCAAACTTTTCTTTTCGAAGTTAAATGTTTCAGTGCCATTGTATCGGCATGGTTGGCACTTCACAGTCAGTTTGGTAGATTTTCCAGTACATGTTGGAGTCAAGTTTCAAAAATCCACAGACTGGAAGCACGCAGATCCTGAGATGATGTCAGTTTTCAACATGTCAGTGCCTGAGACACCACATATCACCACAGCTTCAACTTCTCAAGAGGCTGAGCCGGTGTCTACAACCTCACGAGCCTGTGGCTCACATGCGACTTCCGCCACCGCAATGGTTGGTCAACTGGCGCAGCCTCGTGGCCGCCCTCCTGACCTTCGGCAAGACCTACGTCACCCACATGGTGATCGGAGTGTGGGTGGGATTCCGCAGCAGAGATTGGCTTCTTCAGTCACTTCTGCCAGAGCATCAAGAACCTGTGGATCCACGGCAATGCCAGCACCAGCAAGTAAGAAGGTATGGGAACCCTCACGGCCGATTTGCAAGGTGCGAGCAACGGTTCAGATGGAATCCCAACACCGAGGTATGGGTGTGCATGGACCCATCGCCCTCCTCACCATTGCCGTTGCCATGCTCCGAGAACACAGTGCATCTCCCAACCATGAGCCCAGTGCGGAGTTCCTCTCACAATTTATCGAGGCTGGGGTCGGCCGCCAAAGCCAAACCCAAAGCACGAGCAAGAGCCTCTTCTACGACTTCCTCGACCTTTACGAGAGAGGAACTGATGACAGCCATCCTGGAAACTGTGCGCCGAGAGGTGGCGCAGAGCAGCACGCCAGAGGAGATGGCCATGATGGAGCAGGACAGGATTCAAAATTTCGACGACCACTACATGGAAGAGCATCAAGAAGACCTGGGCGGGGTTCTCCAAGGCAGCTAGACGGCAGCCCAGTTGGTGGAGATCAGCGACGAGGAAGATTTCCAATGGGGGTCGTAAAAAGACTGAAGGGCAACATCAAGCGGGCCTTATTGGCCTATGAGACTGAATCCAAGATCTACAGCGACATGCCTTCAGTAGCTGAGAGACCACCACCATACATGGATGTCTTTGAGCTCTTCAGTGGAAGTTCCAGGTTCACCCTGCTTGCCAAACGTCACACCTGAATGCTCTTGCTCCCATGGATTTGCAACATGGGCAGGACTTCAAACAAGAACAAAAATTTTGAAGACGTTCAAGCCTTGGCTGGCCATTTTGGGTATCGACTGTTGGTCGATCTTCAACGAGAACCTCAACTACAGCCAGGCCTCGGAGTTCCTTGCAACCCTTCGAGAAGGCGAAATGTCGCTGGTGATTTTTGCCTGTGAGGTAGCCTTGTTTCAATTTCGAAGCGGTCGCTACTTTTTTCATTGAAAGCCTTCCTGGGGTCTGGTCTATCGTTTTGGACACCGGCGCGTGGGGCGCTGAAGTTGATTGCCAGATGATAGCCAAACCTATGCGCTTCATTGGTAACATGCCTGGGCTTGAGGGCGTGATCTATAAGCGGCTCACTCCAGACCAGAAACAATGGTGCCAGAAGATCGAAGGGAACCTCATGAAGAAAAGCCAGGAGTATGCAGATGCCTTGGTTCATGCTATCCTCCAATACCTTCGACAGCAAGTTCAGCAATTTAGCCGCACGGCTTCAACTTCAACCAAGTCGTTGCGGTGGCAGAGCCGGTCTGCGATTTGGGCACCTGGGACCAGATTTTCAACCAGATCACCAGGAGCTTTGAACGGGGCAGCAAGAAGCCTTATCTTGTGGAAGCCAGCTCGGCTTTGGGCAGGCAGATGTGTGATTTGTCCAGAATGGATGCTACCCGCATTCACATCGCTCACGCGCCCACAACCAGAAGACTGCTGTTCGACATGACTCACCGTGTCAACGTTTTGCAGAACAGTGATGGTACCCGGGCCCTTGAGGTCGACCACTTGCCTGACCTCCAGTTCCCCAAGCAGCGTTTTGACAAGCTTGTGCAGCACGCGGTGATCATGTATGGCACAATGCGTAATGTGGATGAGCCCAAGACCGAGGTCGACAATCCACTTTTGCCACTGCGCGATTTGCCAACCGACATCACGCTTCCTGGCCTTGCAGAACACCATCAAGTTCCCGCAGATGTGCGAAGATTGGTGGCACGTCTTCACCTAAATCTTGGCCATCCTACTGCCCAAGAGCTTTCCAGAATGATTGTGTACTATGGTGGCGCGCCTTCAGCAGTCAACATGTGCATCCAGCACCTGAGATGCGCGACTTGTGAGCGCCTGAGACCACCACAGCATCCACGACTAGCTGCACTTGCTAAGATGACAGTTGGGCAATTTGCTGATGAAGTTCAAGGCGACTTCGTCTATGTCAGAACTCTGATGGGGGAGAACGTGGCCATCCTTGGACTTTTGGATCGCACCACGGGCTGTCACCAAGCAATTACCTGCCCTTGAAAAGATTCCAACAACGTTTTCAGCAAGGTGCTGAACCTCTGGTTGAAACCGTGCCGTATGGCTTGCCATACCGCATGATGCTTAGATCTGATCCCAGTTTTCGTGGAGCTTGCCAACAACAAGTGGAATCGCTGGGTATCATTGTCGATTTTGCCTTGCCGAGAGTCATTGGATGATCGGCGCAGTTGAGCGCCGCAGCGCAATCCTCCGGATCGTCATGGAGAAGCTCATCAATGGGCAGCCAAAACATCCGAGGATGTGGAGTTTCTTTTGACCCCAGCACTACATGCCTTAAACAGCTCAACCTTCACCAGAGGAAGAAGAGCCTTCCAGGCCGGTTTTGGCAGAGTGCCGCGGCTTCCAGGTGGAGTTATCACCGATGATACTTCGATCACTACCAATCCTAGCACTCTCAACGAGCCTAACAATCTCCTAGCCCAGGTGGAGCTTGCGAGATCTGAGGCACAACGCCATTTGCTGGAACTCAATGTTTCCCAACAGCTTCGACGAGCCTTGCTGCGCAAGACCAATATCACCCGCTATCCTAATTTTCAGCCAGGACAACCATGCGCCTACTGGAGATGGCAGAGAAAGGGTGTGAAGAAGCGGGGATCTTGGACTATTCCAGGGTCCTTTCATGGGATCCATCAGCACCACAACGACTTGCTTGGGTGCGGGGTGGCAATGGGACAACCTTGGTCTCCGTGGAACAGCTTCGAGCAGCCACAGGCTTCGAGTCATGGAGCCCTTCTGAGGAAGACATTAAGGCCCTCAAGGAGGCTCAAGTGGACTTCGAGGAGCATTTGACCAAGGATGAAATTGGCCCGAACCACCGGCCCATGCCACGGAAGACGACATACAAGCCTCACTTGAACCTCGACCAGCAATGATGGCAATACCGGCAATACCGATACCACCGACACCAGCCAAACAACTTGCAGCAGCACCTGGTACACCCACCTTACAACCACTACCAGTACCACCACAACAGCAACATACAGAGACAACAATCAACACACATATGGAAAGCCCAACATTCCAACAAACCTTACATCAAGAACAACATAATATTAACATGTGCGAGTCCTATGGACCACTGCCAAGGACCTCACCTAGGACACCACGCACCCCTAGAAGGGACGCCCGAAACCTAAAGACGGTGCAATGCCGGACCCACAACTACCAAGCGGCAGCCAATCCAGACCCTTACCGGACCAGCCAGCCAGTGAACAATTGCCACCACCAGCATTGACCACAGGCACAGGCGACCAACCTCAGCAAGAAGATCCAACACAGCGCCAAGATCAACAACTCGACTTGCGCAAGTTTCACAACATGCTGAACACCAGCAATAAGCACTTTTACCACAGGAACAGACTGTGGACACAAGCGAGCAACAGGAACAACATGTTACCTTTGCCGAGCCCGGCGAGCGAGCTCAAAACATTGAGCCACGGCCCACAACTGAAGCAGCAACAGTAGCAGAAACACCATTGCCCGACCCAGCCACACCTTCAGCACCAATGCAATCTACGGCAATGGAACAAGAACAACTGCCACAGTTGCCAGCTAAAAGGCCGTACGAAGCCATGAGTTCTACCCTCGTCTTGACAGAAGACGGAATCCACCTACGGCCAGCAGGATCTGATGGATCCCCAGCTTTAGGCTATGGTCCACCACACAGGAGACATTTTGTTGCCTATACCACAGATTTTCAACGACAACAGGATGTCGCTGACATCAACAAGGATCCAACAGAACCAGACACCAGCCTGGAATCTGATTCAGTCCCAGAATCAGCTGCAACGATTGACAAGCCAAAATCCATACGGGCACATCAACGACGCGCCCGTCAGGAAGCCAAGCAACTTGACAGGGAAATCCCATGGAGAGAGATTCTCAAATTGCCGCCTTCAAAGGTAGAAGTACCTTGCCTCCATAGAGAGGGAAGCAAACTCTTGGATGGAATGGAAGAGCATCATTCCACCCAACCATCAACAAGCCCAGCAGATCATTAATGATCCAACTCTATCCAAGAGGATTCCTGAAATCGCGGGCAGCATATCGGGACAAGCACCGAGGACAAGGGGAGCTGCGTGCAAAATGCTGCGTGGTGGCTTTAGGCAACAAAGATCCGGACCTACAAGGACCAGCCCAACACCAGGGCGAACAACAGAATATGTCCTTCTGAGTTGTGCAGTTGCCGGATGGAACCAAGAGCTGGCTGACACAGACCACCTATGGCTTTGCTGGCAGGGAGACGCTAGCACAGCATTCCTTCAGGGGACACAAGAGGACGCCAGCAGGCCGATGGCCTTATACATGTATCCTCCTTCTGATGGGTTGATTAGCAAAACAAACTGCTGGAATGCCCCACTATACGAATTGATGGGGAACATTTATGGGTTGCCGAACGCACCATGTTTGTGGACGCAGCATGTGGTCAAAATTCTCTTGAAACTTGGCTATGTGAGACATGCTTGGGAATGCATGCTTTTTCTCAAGTATAACAAGGCTGGGCAAATCATCTCAATGGTCATGATCTATGTGGATGACTTCATTGGGATCCACCGCCAAGACTATAAGATTGACGAGGTGCACAACGCCTTCGCTTGGGGAGAATTGGCGTACTTTGAACTTGACCAACCCAAGACCTTCAAAGGTAAGGAGCTCACCTTCACCAAGAATGCCTCCAACCGAGTCATCCTGAAGATCTCCATGAGCAAATTCCTGGAGACAGTAGAGCCCCTCACGATTGCCAAAGGTCGTTTGCAACAAGAACCGTTGCTCACTGAGGCAGAGAAGAAGGACTACAGGTCCCTCTCTGGATGTCTCCAGTGGTTGGCTTCACAGGCACGACCTGATGTGTGCCCTGCGGTTTCCTTGTCCAACCATGTCCTTGCAACTACGATCCATGGTTTGAAGGTACTCCAGGAGTCAGGAGATTTCTGAAGCAATCTGCAAAGTATGGAGGACATCCCAGTGAATAAGCAGAGCCTGTTGGTGACCTACGCTGATGCTTCATGGAGCAATGCAGCCCATTCCACATCTCAGCTTGGCATTATCGTGGTCCTCACGACACCAAACGCAGTGGAATCGCAACAGTGCTGTAGTGTCTTAGACTGGCGCTCGTGCAGATCACCACGAGTGTGCCGCCCCACACTCGACGCAGAGGCAACAGCAGCTGACGAAGGAGCAGACAGAGTATCATGATGATCAGTGAGATTCTATATCAGCAGCCAGCCCATCGAATCGGCTGCAAGCTCTGCTATCTCCATGTAACAGATGCGAAGTCCTTGTATGACACCATCGTGTCGCCCAATCCTTCTCTGAGTGACAAGCGTAGCCTAGTGAATGTGCGTGCAGTGCAGGAGAAAGTGTCACCTCAGCAAATGAGGTGGGTTCCAACTTGTCTGATGTTCGCTGATGGACTGACGAAGATTTTCGTCAGCTTCCGGCAAAGCATGCATGATTGGCTGCGTGCACCATCTGTGAAGCTCAAGGATGAGCAAGGTCCAAAGAAAACTGTTGGAGTGACAAATTTCAGCCGTTGCTTTCTGTGCGCATTGGACCTTGCATCACCCCAGGTCGATTGCCTGGAATGACGGCTCGAACCATCGTTCTAAGGATCCTTGGCCGAGACTTTCGCTTTGCCATGATGGGCAAAATAGGCGTGCCTGCCTTTCGAATTGCCTCCTAGCTGCAGCGCAACTGGGTGTGTTAAGATTTCATGTTCATGTAATTTCCATTTCATTTTGATTTTATTTCATTTCATTTCATCTCTTTTCATTCGTTCATTTATGGATTCATTCCTGTATTGGTTACTTCATTGCGTCATTCATTGTCTTTCACTTCATTGCGTCATTCACTGGTTCACACATTCATTGGTTCATGGATTAAAACATTCTTTCATTGATTCGTTCATGCTTTCACGGGTTCATCACTTCGCTCATGATTCATTCGATGACTCACTTATTCATTCATGCCACTGATTTCATTTCATGTCGTTTTATTTCATTGACATCTCAGCAAGCACTTGCTCTCTCGCTGATGCGCCTCACAACTTCACTCCTTCATTGCTTCTGCATCTCACAGGCATTCCTATAAGCCATTGGTTTTCTATAGTCATTGCTCTCTTTAGAAACTTCCGCCTCCGCAGGGCCAGGCAGTATTTGCTAACAGTGCTATGCTATGATATGCAATGTTGTAGAACTCACCAAAACATCATGGCAGCAGCATGTAGTCCCAACGTCACCAAGGCTTCAAAAGAATCACGAGAGTGCGCTGCAAACCATGCACAGGAGTTTTTGGCAGGTGGGGTTTATGTTACCAATGGTTTGGTGACCAGAAAACACATCGATTCTTTCAACTCCTTCAAACCGGAACATGAAACCAATTTGGCAGAACTCTCCGATTGAAAGATATCAACACTATGATTTTTGCAGTCCTTGCCTCTTCAAGAAACAAAGGTGCCCAGCCTGCCCAGCCCTGGACAGCTCAGAGTGTGGCAGGAAGCCATGCCGGAGTGGAGTGGACACATAGGACAGGCCATGAGGCCGATGCTTCCGGAGTTGTGGAGCTCCAAGGGGTTCTCTCAAAATAGGGTCCCCCAAATCTCAAGGGAAATCAACATGTTCCCTTGCAATGGCATCTCATGATAATGATAATGATAATGATAATGAAAATAATGACACACACATATATACATGTATATATGATAGTTATGTTGAAATGATAATGACGATGATAATGATATTGATTAAGTATATATACGGACAAGAGTAATGATTATAATAATCACTTATTTCAGACGCACCCAGATGTTTTCGGCTTTGGCCTATCCCGGCAGGCCTTATTCAAGAAACAAGCAGGTGACTCCTAAGACAGGCAGCCAGGGGTGCTGTTTTTTCTGTCTGGTGAGATTTCAGTGTTTCATAATTTGGAACCCCAAAATGTCACGGTTTATTAATTCATATTTACAACATTTTACAACATGATATTAATCGTAAAGATGTTGATTACATTCATGAAAAACATTTTCCCATTAAAGATCAAATCAAACTAACCATATAACGGGTACCGACAAACAGCCAATACAGCCAGTGCAGGTGCGCAGCATTCAGGACCCCGTGCAACTTGCCAGAGATTGGCTGGTCAACAGCATGCCGGTGCCAGATGGATCATGTTTCATAGAGAGATTTTAGCTATGAATACCTTGAAAGGTTTAGCTTTGCTTCGTGATCAGAAGAAGACTCATGACACGTAAGATGAGATGGATACCTGGATACATGTGATGTGTATGTTGGTATCGCATAGAGAACTTGTCATTCTTACAGGCGGGTCTCATTGCACTTCTTTTTGATCCCAAGGCGAGCGTCAAGACTGAAAAGCTGTCTGACGATCGATTGGGCAATTCCGGTGCAACGACGTTTCTCAGTGCACAGAAGCCACAGAAGCCACAGAAGCCATATAGTTGCTGTACTTGCCCCACTTGCGGGGATTTGATTTGCTCTCGTGGTGATTCTCCGGGTTTAGAGGTGCAAATTGAGCATGGTGACGTCCGCAGAAAGATACTGAATTAACCAGGGGGCGTAACAGAGTTGCAAATTGACAGTGAAGCTGCGATGCTTGAGGTTGATGGTGCGCAACATTCCTGTCCGCTACACACAGGACTCAAATCATGGGCATGGATCTGCTAAGGCCAGGCCAGGATCGTCAGAAGTGATTCAGAAACAGCTGGCTGTGCAGGAAATGCTTTTGAAGGAATGGCCAAACGGGGGGAACTATGACTTTCTGTTGCTTGGCTGTATTTGGGATCCCCCAAGGTCCTCCATCAAGCCATCTGCGCTGAAGACCCTGCCCTTGGCAGGTACTTGCCAATTTGCATCAAGAAGAAGTGCTGCTCGGCCAAGCAAATGTTGCCTGCAAGCCATGTTTCTTAAGATGTGGGCTTCAACTCCAATGCTGTTTGGCTTCAAGCATCCACTGTACTTGTGCAGAAGAGTTTAATCAGCAACTCTGCCTTTGATGCTGCAAATCTTGATTTCCTGTGCAACCTGAGATGTTTTGCACCATATAATATCAAGTCAGACTCGAATTCGCTATGACTTCCAAGGCAACACAAGCTTTGCGTTTATCAATTTCATCTCTCCAGAGGCGGCTCGGGAGTTTGCGGATAGATGGCATCACGACACTCGGCGGCAAATGACAGGAGTTTCTTTGGTGCTTTGGAAGCACGACTTTTTTTGTCCGTCATGGAGAAAATCGAAACGTAGACACAGCTAGGCCATGTTTGTGTTGAATTCAGCCCTTTGTTTGCTTGAAATCCAATGTGAAGTTGCACCTAGGAGAAACCACACCCACTTTGCAGATAAACACATTGAAGGGTGATCCAGTGGTTTGTGTTCCAAGTGTGATCCTATAAGTTATTACATGTTATTACCTCAATTCTTCGCAGTCTCAGGAGCGTCTCTTATTTTTTAGCGCCAGGAAGCCCTTAGACATCAGCGACTCGGGGCGCAGAAGGGAGGGATTGGCACATCAACACTTCATCTCACAAGTGATTTTAGATTCAAAGCGAAGCCAGGACCAAGGTGTAGAAAAAAACTGAGCTTGTGATGCTAACATTTTTGCAGTTTTGTCAGCCTTTGGCAACCACTTTTGTGGCTTCTGACTCCTCGGAATGGGTGGACCAAGGTCTCGCTGATCTCCAAGGTTTGGAGAAGAATCTGCTGCAGTGCATGAACAACAAGACGGGAAGGGGGCTAAGAGTTGTCATTGAGTTTAGAATAGTTTAGATATGTTCCACTCTGCCATCACTATGTGCCTAAGTTCAAGATACTCCGACTATTTGCTTCCAGTTCCGCCAGCGCTGAACACTCTTCGGAGAAGTGTCACTTCGTGGTGGAGTGGTCAACGATTCATGCCATGCCAGCTAAGCACATAATGTTGCAGCTTCTGCGCCAGGACATCTCGAATTCGCAATGTTCGCTTTCAGCCAGCAGTTTTCAAAGGCCTGAGCAATGGTACCACAGGGGGGTTATTATTCAATATTATATATTCATTTCATTGAAAACGGCCCCGAGCTCAAACGCTGTTGTTCCACGGGTCCGACATGTTGGATCGAGGACCATGGACTGACTGCCAGTTTTTAAAGAGTGATTGTCCAGGTGCTGAACGTGTCAGCGTTGAGAAAGTTATGAAGGACCGCGATGTTCAAAAGCCTAGACTCCACTTCTCCCTTCAAGATCTTTCCAATATGTTGAAGCAGACTTGCAAACAAAACAAATATAATTATATATATATACACACCAGCCTGTGTATATAATTGTACATACACACACATATATATATATACATATACACATATATATACATACATACATGCATACACATACATACACATACATACACATACATACACATACATACATACATTCATACATACATTCATTCATACATACATACATACACATACATACACATACATACACATACATACACATACATACACATACATACACATACATACACATACATACACATACACACACATACACACACATACACACACATACAGACACATACAGACACATACAGACACATACAGACACATACAGACACATACAGACACATACAGACACATACAGACACATACAGACACATACACATACACATACACATACATATACATATACATATACATACACATACACATACACATACATACATACATACATTACAGTACAATACATTACATTACATTACAATACGTTACATTACATTGCAATATATTACATTACATTACATCACCTCACATTACATTACATTACATTCATTCATTCATTCATTCATACATACATACATACAGACATACAGACAGACATACAGACATACAGACATACAGACAGACAGACAGACAGACATATATATATATATACATACGTATGTATATTATATACTATATATATATTACTTATACATAGAACATATATAGTTGATAGACTATTATAGTGCATCAATCTTGAAAAAATTGGCTGTGACCTGGAAATAACATTGATGATGTCCATCTTATTGCCAGGACATGCGCCAAAAGTTGAATCCGAACCAGAGCAATGAAGGAGAGGAGAATGGACACCTTGAGCCTTTGGTCTATGGTCATGATTTCACTAGCCCTGAGAGCTTTTAGAAGTTTACAGCTGTCCTGAAAATGCTGGTAGCATTTTTGAAGTCATGCGCCTGGAGCAGCCACGACGGCATCTTCTGGAAGCGAGCAGCAAAAGCACTGGCAAGGTCAACCATTCCTGCTCCCATGGGGCAAAGGATCCTTTGGCATCCTTGAAATGCTGCCTTGGAAGGCATAAAATACAACGTTCAAACATGCTTAAATCTGTTCCGCCAGTGAGTTTGCACATTGCACTTCCTTTCCCCTGCCAGAACTGATTGGGGGGGCATGTTCACAGACTCCAGGTCGTTTCACTGCACCCTTGCGGTACCCTATAGCCGCAGCCGCTCTGAAAGGGGAAAAAACGCTGGGACCACACGATCCAAGAGCTAGCCCTGAGAAAGGCAGCAACTTCTCTGGGACTCCACCGCCAACAGAATGAGACGCCAATTTTGCGGCCGTTGCGACCATTGTTCACTACTGAAGGGCGAAATCAACTTTCACTTTCTCTCCTGGGAACCATTTGTTATCAACGATCATCGCCATCCTGTCTCAACCTGTGCTCCTTTTAAGTGGGTAGTTAGTGGTGATTGGGTTTTGGGGCTGAAGGCCCACCTGAATAGTTCTTTGAATTTCATGTGAAGATTCAAAGTCACACATTTCTTTCACCACAAAGATAGCTGGACACATCTGAATCTCATCCAGCCTTCCTTCCTGAGGTGCCAGGATGGAAGGCCGGCCATCAAGGCTGGAAACCACACAGCAAAGAGATGCAAAGAGCAGTGCATTTCTGAAATCCCAGGAAGTCTTGTTGATTCCAGGCCTGTACACACTCTGATACACTCAGTGCGACTCAGTCTTTGGAAGAATCGTGTTTGAAGCAGATCAAGCTTAAACCGACGTTTGATACTGCAGATGAAACGTTTGCGTGCTGGATTTCCCCAACCGCTGGTACCGGTTCAAGTGGTGCTGTCCCCTGGCCCTTCAATTTGTTGGGCCAGGCTTCATTGTTTCAGTCATACTTCAGCTGTTAGCTGTGGATTTTGTGCAGTTTTGTTGATGACTTCTTCATTCAAATCATCCCAAAGTCATCCAAATTGTTTTTTCTTAACATGCGCATAGTCGGCATAGTCCCAAAGTCATCCAAAAGTACATAGCTGTTGCTCATTTGGTCATGCTCGCTTCGGAGCATGTGAACGTGAAGTTGAAAGCTGCTGCAACTTCAACGAGAGGAGACACCAAACCGGATCCGACGGCCAAGCTGACTGCCTGGCAACGACGTTCAGTTGTGGCGAACTCCACTTATCTTTACTTCTGACATTTTCGCTGTTCAACTTGTTGATTCTTTTTGTGTTGCAAGAGTGGCGATCCTTCCCGGACAAGATGCGTTTTAATTTGGCTGTTTGAAATTCCAGTAGTTTTGGGATCCAACCCCACCAAGCGAGGAGCTGATGCGCCGCTGTCGCTTCCGAAGTGCACCTTGGCCTGTTGGCCAGTTAGCACCTCGTTCACAGTGCAAACAAACCAAGATCTGATCAGACCAGTTTGGAACCGACAGTACATATGCATACATATTGTGTATATGCGTGTGTAAATAGTATACATGCAGGTACCGATTGGCATAGATGTGTAAGTATGATCATGATAAAGCACGCGGCGTAGTTCCGTACAGTTTGCCATTCATAAGTGCTGCTGGAGATGCCACATATAGCAGTTCTATGATTCGAGATTCTGCAACGAAGGCTAGAACCAAAGAACAGTTATTGCAACTGACCTTAATTCTCCAAGCCGAAACAAAGCTATTAGGTTACTAGGCTTCAGGTGACTCAAGAGGAGTCGGTTCACTGAGGCTCTCACGACGTAACGCTCGGACGTCCAGTCGGACATGGCAGTTGTGCAGTGGTTTTTTCCGTGGAACGTGTTGAAACTTCAGAGGCTGTGGGGATATGTGGGGATGATGGGCAAATATGGGGGATATCTTCAGGGGTTGAAACATGTTGAAACTTCAGAGTTTCAAGTCCAAGGAACCGAAGAATCGATTAGTTACAGGTGTAGTTGGGTGTAGTTCAAACTCCAACGATGTGATACACTTTTTATGTGGATTGTTTTGGCTGTTCGGACTGTTCCCCTGCAGGCCAAGCCGCTCTCAAGAACAGAATTGGTGGCGAAAGTGGGAATGTCAGGCATTGGAGTAGTGCTGTTTTCTGAGTGTCCTGGAATTTCGGAAGACCTTACGTGCTTGCGAACCGGTTTTCAGGTGCCTAAGTTGATGGCTTATCATTTTGCACATATGCATGTATGTAATTGTATGTACAATGTGTTGATATATATATATATATATGTTGGTAGCCCACCACACTGCAGCGCATACCCTGTTGCGCTCTTTTCTCCACACTTGGCCTTGAAAGTGCCTGCGGAACATGTGATCCCATGCAGACCTCGGATGCATCAATGCGTTAACACTCCTTTATAGTCTTCAACCTGCTATCTATCTCAAGCGGCACTGCGGCGAGGAATGTTCGTTCCAGGGATAAGCACCTGCTGGGCACCACCGTTTTCGACCGCCACTTCATCCTTCAGGGCCATCAAATATTCCACCAAATCACGGAGCTGATGTGACCCCTTGGAGCAGCAATGGCTCATCAGCCACTTCTTATATCCCACATCTTCATCTGAGCGGGACACATGCAGCGACTGGTAGGAGCGCTTGTTCATGAACTTGCCGACGGAAATCATAAAGCCTCCCCATTCACTGAGGGACCGAACTCCAGGTGGCAGATTGGGCACTGTCGACAAGGGGGACGTCGCCGAGGGCAAAGGAGCTGATGGCTCTGACCCACGTCCACCATAGGATGTCGACACATCATCTTCACGCAGGTGTTTGGAAGCATCGCTCATTGCTCCCAATTCTGACTTCTCAGAGATGATATCCCATTCACGTTCATGCTCCATGACATGTTTCATCAAGGCAGGGAGGACACCACAATCGCGAGCCTTGTGCAACAGCTTCAAGCACTGCTGTTGATCTTCGTCAGCCCAGGCAAGGGCTGACAACGCTCGATGCGACATGGCAGGTAAGGAGTCCCGCTAATCACTGATGCTTCGTGCGGCTGCACTCACACAATCCTTTTCGGGCATTGCTGCAAGTGTTCAACCCTCAGTTATTATTATCCCTAATAACTACCCATTCTTGTTTAGTTACGCAGTGATACTCAATAGGCACAGAACTTGACACGTTTCTCGGCTATCTCCTTTCTCTTCTGTCTTTCGGTGGCTCTCCATTCCAATACATCCTTCTCTGGGCTGATTTGGTATTTTCCGGCTTTGATGCGGGCACGCAGTAAGTCCAGCGCATCGGCAGACTCCTTGGTCATGCTGTCTGCCAACATGCGGTCAGTTGGCATTCAACGAACAGAGGCGCACATAATTCGAACTCCCTCACGGATGATGATGATGATGATGATGATGATGATCATGATGATGATATGATGATGATATGATGATGATATGATGATGATATGATGATGATATGACGATGATATGATGATGATATGATGATGATATGATGATGATATGATGATGATTTGATGATGATATGATGATGATATGATATGATGATATGATGATGATGATGATGATGATGATGATGATGATGATGATGATGATATCAATTGAAGTCCTACGGTTGTCCAATGATGGTGCTGATGGCGACTTCAGGTGGTCGAACAAGGACTTACAATCTGTTACCAACATACAGGGAGGACGATGAGGTGCTTCCCACAAGGACTGTGCGCAGCATGGTCCAAATTGAACACCGGCCAGAACAAGTGACAACCATTCACACATGCTGGATGCTGCTGACATTGATTGTGCCTCAGCGCTGAGAGTTGAGTTTACCACCCTGGGAAGTCTATGACTCTTCCAGTACGCAGGGGTCCAAGAACAAGTATCTCCAACTTCTAAGTTCTTGTGGGTAAATCCAATTACATAACCCCCTTGAGTGGCTCCCCCTTTGCATTGGCATAAGCAGCGTCGGAATGGCACACTACAGCAATCTCAGGCATCGGAATGGATCTGTACACAATGCGCAGCTCAGCATGCTGACGGGCTCGGCAAGTTGCATTGTTGGCTGACAAGGCGTCTCCTACAGTTGGATGGGGAAATGATTGCTGTGAAAAGGACACTTGTGCTGCAAGGTCAGGTCGTGACTGCGAAGAAAGCCATTTTAAGCTACCATTTACAGCCCTAAGACAACTTACCTCCTGGTCGGACAGCAATGCAGTCTTATCCTGGCAACGACTTCGGCTCATGTGGAGCGGTCGGATGCCACTGGCGAACTTGGCTTGGCTCATTGAGATTTCAAAAGACACGGGATCCTGAACATATCTTGCACCACAAAAATCTCCATCCAGAAAACGCCATTTCCGAAACTCAAACTATTCTTTCAACTGGGCCATGGCCTGTTCATACTTAGGACCAGATCCACTGGTTGCGCAGTCATCTACATGCACGCCATATATTCCAACCAGCTCTCCAGACGCATCCCTCAAGGTGTACAAACATGGGTCAAAACGGCTTGCCACAAATTCTTCACAGTGCAACTTTTGCTGCCATGCTGAAGGACTGTCACGCAAACCATAAACGTGACCTGTCACCTCTACCAAGGCGTCCGAAGGTACGCCAAGAATGCCGCCTGTGACAAGGTTGGACTTTGGAGGGCACCCTCAAGGGCTTTTATTCAAAGATCAGGGTCTCGGTGACCAAGCAAACACCATCGAGCCTTTATCTTCACAGGGGCATCTTCTTCTTGCTTCAAGGTGACCACAAAACGGCTATCCATGATTCTGTGAGACAACTTGTGACGAACATGTTCAGCTTCAGGACCTTGAATCAGTCTACCACCCCCCTTTCCCTCGGTGACATGCCACTCAGCCAGCTTGGCTTCATTGATCGTCTTCTGTTGTCCAGGCTCTTGATTGGTGTGTGGAATTCCTTAGAACCACGCTTTTGGTGATAGGAGACCAGCATAACTTCCCATGGAACACCTGCATCATACATTTGGATCAGCTCAGCACGATCATGCTCAGACAGCTCTTGTGAATCACGGCATACATGTTGTATGAACATAACCCCTGTGGCTCTTGCAACATCACCGGTGCTACTAGATGACTCTAGCCGTGGGGCCTGAGCGTGACCATGTGATTCAGCACTGTCTGGACTAACCGCACGTTTGACACTATGAGATCGTGGTGATGACATAGCTGCATCGGATGCATCGGCTTGTGGAACACTTGCTCTACCAACTTCGGAACTATTTCCTGCATAATTTCGGCAAAGTCATCAGCAATCATTAGGGCTGGGCGATACAAACCACTAGGACCATTCTTACCCCTCAAACGACGACGTACGGGACCGTATGTTGAGGACTCTTCAGGGCTCTTATCCAAGTCATTTCTTACGTCATGATGATTGTTGGAAGGGTCAACATCATCAGTTGGTTCGGCGTTTGCTGTGGTTGTATCTGGTGCAGCAGAGTCATCAACTCCGGGACCAGCCATGGCGGCGGGTCTGGCAGGCTCAGCATTCAGGCGATCACTAAGAGACATGGCTGGAGCCCGGTCTTCAGACTGGGCTGGGGCTTCCACTGGGACTGCTTCTGGCCGTTCTTCGGTGGGATACCCTTGAGGAATCAAGTCAAAATATTGTCGACTGGCAGCTCGGATCCGTTCAGGAGCGCATCTAATTACCTGCCTCTTGTGCACCACCACAAAGTTGCGACCAACCTTACCTAACACAATGGCGGGCCCATGCCAACGCCCATGGTTATTCAGTTGCCCCTGTTCCCACTTCTGGGTTCTCCAGTATGCAACTAGTTGGGCAGGTTCTGGTTCTTTCTGATGGCGCGGCTTGGCAGCTAATGCAAGGCGTAAGGCCTTACTATCCTGAAGCTCTAAGACTGCACGGCGGGCTGCATGTCGGACAGCTACATGTCTAGCCACTTCTTCTTCATACAACGGAGCAGTGGCTGGGACAACTTCCAATGGTTCATGCATGAGGTGCTCTGGTATCTTAGGATTGCGACCAAAGACAAACTGAGCCGGCCATACGCCTGGATCAATTCGTTTTTGCAATGGGCCGTCAACACACATTCTAACCATCATCCTTGGAACCCGGTGAAAACTCATGAATGGTCTTTTCTAACGCCTGGTTAAACGATCCACCATTAACCTCGACTTTGCCCAACTGATAATGGGCATCAGCAGCTGTGACATGAATTGTTGACAGCTCTTGTGGCATAGTCAGAGCATCAGATAAATTCACTCGGTGGGGATCACAAATGTGGCTGTCCAGCCCAACTGATCCATCGCTCCTGCACGGCTTTTCGAAGGTTCTCGGCGGTTGGACGTTCAAACAGGGGTACAACGACTTGGAAACTGCTGGCATAGTCAACAATCTTTTGGTTGACAGACCAGCCTGTGAGATATTTCACATCCATGCCTATGCGCTGATTGAACACGGTGATTCGTTCTGGCTGTCCTGGAAGCGCAGGGCTTGGCTTCGCATTAGCCATGCACTGGGCACATTGCAACTCCCTTGCCAACTCTTGCGCACGCTGAGAAGCACCACCATGTTTCAACAACCTGACTAAGTGTTGATTACCGGGGTGACCCATGTTAATATGCAGCTTTTGCAAACTATCATGGATCTTAGCATCATTTCCTTCATTAAGTTCCCTAACCCTGGCAGCAACTAAACACTCGGTCGGATGATGACATGCAACGGACAGCACGGCCTCGCTTCGCAGACTGGGCACGCTGTCCATGACGGCAGGGACAAACTTGGCAGTGTATTGTCCAACATATCTACTCACACTTCCTACCTCAGGATGGCTTCCGGCAACCGGTTGGTGGACATGATGTTTTGGGTCGTTCTTTCCAGGACACTTGAGACCTAAACCCTTCATGTTAGCATGAGACACCAACAACCGTCTTGACTTACGGATGGGATCACCATGAGGAACTCTGAGACCAAACCGGCACATGTCGCACTCGATCAAGTGCATTTTGCGTATCAAATGTTCAACACGAGGCAATTTCCAGATTGACGACGGCTTTGGATGTTCCAGCAGTGCTCTACCACCAGCATTCAGTTGGGTTTCAATCAGTTCACAACAAAAATTGATGAACAACATGGTGAGGACACGGCGTCTTTCAACCTCCGAAGGGTCCATGTATAGCTGATTTAGATGGAACCAACCACCTGCCCAAGTACATGGAGGACTGCAAACTAACAAATCAGGTGGACTATTGGCTACAATTTCACGCATGGACTTTCGGTGATCAGCTCTTCTGAAATCCCAACCCGTCAACAGATCGGCAGATAGACCAGTCTGGCCACGAACTGCAGTTTGCTGGGCAAATCGTGGGGGTGAAAACACCTCTATGACATTGTACTGGCGGGTTCATCCAACTTCCTGACATGCTGGGCAAGTTGATTGGCTTGCTTCGGCGACCATTGGGTCATCAGCACCTCATCAGAACCTGCTGTACCTGGCAGCGGTGATTGTGCAGGACGGATGAAAAACACTGTCTCTCCTAACCAGTATTTGCCTATCTGGTCGCCTACATGGGCATGTGCATCGGACGGCTTTGTCCACTCATCTTGAAGCTCATGCATGTCAGAATGATCTACCAAATGCCAACGTGTTACACGCTCGGAGGATAGGTCGGCAGGATCGACTGGACAATGGGTATTGCATGGTGTAAAACGCTCAGTACGGGGCCTAACATGGTGTCGGACTATTTCCCCTTTTGCATAATTTGCAACCCAATAACCCTTAGACTTACCCTTTTTACCCACTATGCTTACCTCCGTTGGCGGAGGGGGCACTGCATCAAACAGGACAGGATCGTCGGTGATGCTCTGGGCGGCATACACAGGATCGGCATCAGGCTGATGGGCAGCCACGCACACGGAGTTCTCATTGGGCTCAAAGTTGCAGACCGGGATCATATACTGCCCAGCTGCATTCAGGCTCATGGGGACGCTGGTCTTCCCATTGAACAGCTTCAGTTCATCAGTATGGAAATTCATCTCAGCTTCCAACTTCTTCATTGCAGGCCTCGACAGCAGGAGTGGGGCATCGCCCTGGACCACAGCGGCCGACACAGCTCCACGCTTCTCCGCCAGACAGATGGGCATTGCCACTATCTCTGAAGACTTCTCACAGGCACCATTTCCATACCTGAAAACGTTCTCCTCATGTTGGAGTTGAGGTTGTGGAACTCCGGCTTTTGTCCACAGTTCTCGAAACGACTTCAGAGTATTGGCACCTACGATCGTCTTTCCACACCGAGAATCCAAGACAGCGTATCCAGGAGATGAAATCAACATCACAGGATTGATGTGCACCTCAGGTTTCGGCGCAAACTTGGCTCGCAGCTGTTCCAGTAGGGTCAATGGCTTGTGCCATCCAGCAGCGCAGATGAAGGGCTCCTCAGGAACATTCTGCACACAGCTCGCTCCATGGGCAGTTGAGTTGGAGGCGCTCGAGTGAGTCGGATTTCCACGAGCTCTACATTCACGGGCCCAATGACCCACCTTCTTGCACTTGTGACATCTTGTACGTTTCTTCAGCTCCTCCACTTCAATGTGAAAAGAACGACGTGTGTCGGCTTCCTTGTTGAATTGCCTCGACTGCTTGAGACGAGCCAGCTCCTGACGTTTCTCTTTCCAGCTAACTGCAAAGATGTCGGCCACATCTTTTTCGTCAAAGCATTCGGTGCAGTATCATCTTCTACGTGCTCAGCAAGGAAAAGTTCGATGTCCTGAAACTCTGCGACACCGACGTTGGGGTCTTCATCATCCACAGAACCCATCACCTCGGCCATGGACTTGGTCTCCACTAGGTGTGCTCCAGTCGCCCGTCGCTTAGGCACAGTGAAGTCAGGAAGGCATGACCTCATCCACACAGCCATGGCATCGAACTTCAACTCGCTTTGGGTGCGAGCCAGCACAACTGCTTGCTCTTCCTCGCTCATGCCGCTGCACTGCAGAGATATCCAGCCTCGTGCTTCATCAGGGAAGTTGACTCCTGTTTTGTGGTTGCAACGGTCGAAGCACTCTCTGGCTCGCCCGCACCATTGTCTCACAGATTCTCACTCTGTCGATTTGAGGCTAAAAATCTCTGAGATGTGCTCTCCCATCTCGTCGCTACGATCTTTCTGTGGCCAGCGTTGATCCAGCAGTTTGAAGATGACCAAATCACCTCCTTCGCGCTGGTATTCCTCCTCCTTGAGGTGTTCGACGATCTCTAGCGCCTTACCCTGTAACAGGGTCCGCACAAAGCTGCCACGTGCCTTCGTGGGCAGCTTATCCATCACATTCATCTTGTTGATGGCCCATTGGCGCCAGCGACAATATTCGCGAAAATCGACCTCATCGCCACCAGCAAAGTGCCTCAAAGAAGCACCCGGATCCGTCATCAGGTGGAGGCACCTATTGTCCTAAACAGGTGCTGGAGCTGGCCTATTGCCAGCTCTGCTACCAACGTTGGTAGCCCACCACACTGCAGTCATACCCTGTTGCGCTCTTTTTTTTGCACACTTAGCCTTGAAAGTGCCTGCGGAGCATGTGATCCCGCGCAGACCTCGGATGCATCAATGCGTTAACATATATATATAATTATATATATATATGTGTATAGACCTGTGGATAGATACAGGTCTGCCTTTGGAAGGGAAGGTTTTGCGAGCATATCAGGTGAAGATAGCTGCGAGAGCTCCCTCGAAGCCAAAATCTTGAGTTCACTTCCTCGCCACATCAACATTGTAGGCAGGGCGTACCAACCTGGTCCAGAGGTGGTTTCAAGTTTGCTGTTGCATTTCAACCATATTTTCATGATATTTCATGATGGCTTCCAATAACTGCGATGAAATCGAAGAAGCACCCATTTTCATTCCCAAAATTGGTAAATCACCGACTGGCCACACGCGCCAGGTTTTTACGGGAACTTCTGCACAGTGGAAAGAAACGAGGCGCAGCGATCCAACATGCGACAGCCGTATGCGTCGCTTCTGAGCTTAAGAGTGAAGTTTGGGATGTACACTCTCAGACGACAAATGAGAATCAGAATCTACAGAATGCAGGCTCACAATGGTAATGGTAATGATAATAATCACTGATAACTCAATACAGTTCTAGTGATAGAAATATACATTGATACCTGGATCACCTACGGGTGCTGTTCCGTTGCAATCAAGGGGCACCTGCACACCAGCTTATTCTTTTTATATTATACGTTGGTATAGTAATAATTGCCGTCATTGGAATTACCAGGATTGGGTTGCCATGTTTCGATTGATCACTCTCAGCACATGCGAATTCTTATGATGCTCTGACTCTGACCCTTTCTTCCACTGTCTCAAAGTCGATCCTACTGCAAAATCCACAGGGAACCGAGTTTGGACCATATATGATGTCATATGATGTCATTGATTTAATGGTCTGTTCTTTTGAATTGGCCCACAAGATTCCGGGTTGCCTGGGCACCGCATGGCTTCGTCAGGACTTGGAAGTCCTGCTAGGAAACTTTGCAAGAAGAACGCTGAGCAGAAAGCAACTTGGGCAAAGACACATGGCACTGACGAGGGCTTGCGGGAGCACAATAGGTCGCCGCAGAAACAGAGGAGCAACGGAAGCTTCGATCCGTTTGTTTGAAAACGAGGTACAAGCAAAAATCTCATCGATTACTCGATTACTTTTATTTTCATTCATTTTCATTCATTTTCCACTTCAAAATTATTGGTTTGGATTCCTTTCCGGATTGGTTTCTTGAGACGAAACCATGGGATTTGATGCTTTACCCTGTGAAATCCAAGGCGACAGGCACGTGGGGAGCTCAGTCGGCCAACCCAATAAGCCACCCCCAATTGAGGTCTAGTACCGTATGGTTTAGTAACGACATAATTGGTCACAGCATAGGTCCGGTGAAAACTTGAGAGTAAGGTTCAGTGACCAAAAGTGCAATGGCAAGAAAGGAGGAGCGCTGCCTTCCACATGCTGTGCCATGGAAACGTATAGGGTGCTGTTTGTAGGTGGAACGCATACGCTTGAAATCAGGATGTGTTGTCAACGACTAAGCAACAGGTGCGAAAAGTGTCTTGAGGATACCACGAACCTAAGAAATGGTCTTGACGTAGAGCGAAACATTGGTATTCACTGTGTATCCATACGCCTTGGCTGGGCAATGTTGGTCCATTGCTATAGGAGATGCAACGGATTGCAACTTGGCCAAAGGGGTGGCAAGTGGACCCGAGATGAGATCACACTTGCACCTTGCAGCTTTCAGCGCTGTCAAGTCTGTTGAAGTTGTTGGAATGCAGTGTTTCCAGAGTTTCACACATACGTACAGTGAGTACCCGGATGAGTGCAGTGGGAATCGGATGAAAAGCTGGATGCAGTGCAATTGTTGTGACATAGCACTCCATTTCCTTGAGGCCATGTCAAAATATATCAAAGCCCTGGCCAAGAGACAGTTCGAGCAAGGTTTTCCCTTCAGCAGTGCTCCGAGGCCTCCGAGGTGTCCGCGACCATGCAAGCCTCCGAGCTGGACGTGCTGCAGCCATTGCTTCACAATTTCTCACTGTCTCCTGGCATCTCCTGGCTGGTTCAAGGTATGGCTCCAAACATTACCTCGACCGATTTGAGGTGTGTAAGGTGTAGCCAAGGTGTACGTGTGAAAGGGACAACATGCATGCTACAGCTGCTACAGTGCCTGACATGTGCCGATAAACACTCGCTATTCCAATCGTGCTCAGGTTTGAAAAATGTTCCTTGAGCCTGAAGGAGAGCGGGCAGGGGACTTGAAGGATGGTGACATGGTCGTCATGACGGCCGCCTGGTGGCATTTCGATGTTTAAAGTGCTAGGATGACTGCCCCCTGGCACCAGGATTTGCTGCGTTTTCAGACCTTGACGGAAAGTGAGGCTGGGTAAAAAGGGGTTAGCATGCACACATAAAAACACACATAAAATGATGATGTGTTGTTTGTCTCGAGTGTCCTGCTCATTGTGACAATGGAGAAAAATGGTTTCCTGTGTGTTGCTGCAAATCAATTAGAATCAAGTTCTCCTACTTTCCCATGCTGAATTTCGTGACCTTACTGCGCCAGTTGGCCTGTGCTATGTCTGACGTCTTTCGTGGTTTGGCCTTTGTCCACAAGCACGGGGTGCCTGGGTTGCGTTCAGTTGGGGATGGGGTGGTCCCCAACAGGATCTTGGTGATCTCTTCATAGGAGTCAACCATTCCTTTGTGTGCGTGTTGTGGATGTTGCAGCTGAATCCAATGGAAATTGTCAGTGTTTGTCAGAGACAATCATCATGTACATTTTTATGTACCCTTATCTTGGATTTCGTATTTCACTTCTCAGGAATCCAAATCCCACAAGACTTGCAAGGACTCGATCCATTAGAGACATTTCTTGTGACCCAGTGACTTCTCACCAGAACAGCTTTCAGTGACAGCCTGTGAGGTATTGCACCGCGACCTGACTGATGGCAACTCGCCTGAGCTTAGGAAGACTTTGCCTCCGAAACGCAATGGCGTAATGATTTTGTGGGCTAGTTCTGTGGGATGATCATGGCGGGTGTGGCATGATGGCATGGATCAAAATTATCACCAAATGGATGGTTTCAAGATGTTTCAAGAGCAATGACAAGCCATTTGTAGGCCCCTACCCCAAAGGCCTGATCCATTGTCAAGGCAACCTGCTTATTGCGGAGGGCGGCCTTCGTGTTGTCCTCGCTGACTTCGATTTGTCAGTGGAAACCCAAGGCCACGTTGCCAAGTGCCGGTTGGTTCAGCTGTGTATTAGTCTTCATTTTATGGCTGATAAATTGGGAAAATAATGGTCGACCGTTGTATTGTGGGCTAGAATATTTCTCGGCAGATCAATCAATTGTGCATTTCTGTCATTCATCAAGCATCAAAGCCTTCGAAGATATATATCTGGAACTCGTCAAACTTGCAAGTCTGAGCTGCCGCTGTGCAGGATCTAGCCAAGTGCCATGGACGTGCGGCACACCAGGCTTGGCCATACTGGCAACTGAACAATGGGATTTCCACGACACATGGTTGATGGGTCCCATCTCATGTGTGAATTCTGGAAGGCTTCATGGCTCCGGAGGTTCTCAAGAATGGCAGAGGCAGGGAATATGCAGCCCAGCTGCGATGCGTGGCTACATCTAATGATGACATCTAGAGTCTCTTCACATCACTGGAGCTCTGTAGGCTGCGCTAAAAGCGACATTTTTGGCGCTGGCGTGATCGCGTTTTCAGCTGCATGTGGCAAGCATCCGTTTTGGCGAGAAGACATACAAGACGTACAGGAGATTCTCCGCCGTGTCAACTCATTCTTTTGCCTACAAACATCCACAAACGTGTGCCAACATGTATACTGTATACTGTATTGATTTGGTCGACTGACTTTAGTGGACATACAAAACATGCAGCCACTGCTCAAAGCAGGTCGTCGCTCACACATTCGATGTTTAGACGTCTCGATGTCTCGATGTCGCAATGGTGAATTCTGATGAATTCTGACGGTAGGACGCAGCAAGGGCAACTCTTCATGACGAGCCAGACTTTTGGGGCGGGCGGCTTGCCTGCAATGGATGCACCAAGAAAAGCCCGACTCCTGCAAGACTGCCTCTGAATCTACGAGGCGGACAGAATTAGGTGAAGTACATTCGCCATTTATTACTTGTATTATCTGGTACTGTACTGTACAAAGTTCCATCCTATTTTATAGAAAAGTGGCCAATGCTAGAAGCCTTGTTCAAGTGTCCCAACAAGTGGCTACAAGGTGGCAAAAGGTGAGTTTTTTTTGGGCTAGCATATTATACATACACACATATGTAATCATATGTATGTATGATATAATTACGCAAACAATCACCGTACAAATGCACACAGGGGATACTATTGTTTTTTCCTACCACGACTCAGGATTTGGACAGAGCTTTCAACGCCTTGCTAGAAAGCTAAACCATGGTATTTGAGATGCCTGTGAGAAATTGGCACAGAACTTCCCGCTGGAATCCCTTGCATCAATTCTTTTTGATCGCTGCCACAAGGGCAGGAAGCTAAAACAGTATGGTTTCGCGAGATTTCAGGAGTTTCTTTTCTTTTTTGGAGCCCGAACCCAACACGTGTTATTGCAACATGTACAAGCACCCGGTTTTCAGGCCTTTCATTTGCTGAAATGATAGTTCTTCAGATGCTCCTTTTGAATACACGAGCAATCTCCCAAGGCACGTGCTTCGGCGCAGCTCCAAATGTTTCTTGCCAGGATTTTTAAGAAATTTGCGTTCCTTCAAATCTTGGACGCTGTTGCAACGCCTTACATTAATGGTTAAGTTGGAGAATCTTGCAGCCCCTGGAAACAAGATGTTTTGGCGCAGCGAGCCCATTCCTTGAGCTGGCCCGAGGTCTCGGTTTCGTCGAGCAGCTGTTGCAAAAACAGGCACATAATCTGTGTGCGGAGGAAAACTAGTGATAGCCCTGGAACGCTGTTGGACACTTTTCTTCCCATTGTAGATTTGATACATTGAGAGCTGGGACAAAGTAAGCTAGGGGCAAAGGTTCTCGCACACACCTGCCCCTTGACCTCATCCTTGTAGATAGGCTGCAAAATTCTTGCATCGCACAGTGGATCTTGATCTCGACGTTGGCAATGGCCGAACATCCGAAGTACTCCAGCACCAGAGACTGATGAGACTTTTGCCCCTAGGTGGATGATCGCCCCACTGCCAAGCAAGCTCTTTGTGATCCATGGCTCCTAAGTGGAGCTGCATCTTCCAATCTTTGTGCTGCAATGGAGAGGCCTCCTGCTTGCACCTGAGGTGTCAGCTTCGTACAAAATGCAGCTTGATTTCCTAGAACTAGTACTGAATGAAGATTTTGCGCTAAGCCCCCCTGTTTGCTGGTAAAAATGATGTTCTTTTGCATTTTTTTTCCCGTCAGCCTTTTCATTGAACCCCAGAGGTGAGGTAGCTACATATGTAGCTACTATAAAATCGGTAACCATATTCATATATATATATACACATACATATATATATATATATATACACACATACATACATATATATATACAGTAACCTGTGTGTTGGCTCTGGGTAATCAAGCTTTCGCAATTTCTCTGGTGTCCTCCATGAGATCCCCCAAGATAGCACTCTCTAACAAAGCCATCAGGTACAACAAAGTTCGGTCTGAAGAGGACATGGAGGTCAGACAACCTGCCGCCAGCAGCACAGGTAGAGCCTGTTAGAGCGGTATAGCTCGGTATAGCCCGGTATAGCCTCCAAGACCTCCCAGTCACCTCCCACCATTTGGGATCCTAAGCCTGGTTCCAGGAGGAGCAAGAGGAGATTCCAAGGACACGCAGTCACTTGTTGGAGAAGATTGTTGATTGGGCACTGCAGTCCTAAATTCTCGGTTGTAGATTCTCCAGACAAATCCAATGTGGTTGAAAAGGACATAATGACATCATGTACTGTACATGCCAATGGAGCCCAGTGAACAAGATTCCGTCCGACTTCGGAGCATTTTCAATGAAACATGTTAAGAATTGGCAAAGGTTTTGCAGAGGTACCCACCCTTTGCTTATTAATCCATTCTTATCATCCGCTTATTAATCCATTCTTATCATCCGTCAGGTTGCAGGTGTTCCTGCAATGTTATTTAAAGATTTTGCCAACTCACTCAGATAGTGCAAGACAGCAGTGTGTCTTGTCACCAAGGTATCTTTCGCCGTGCAGTTCACGCTTTGCTTTCCTCTACAAGAACATCTGAAACAAAGCCGAGCAAGGACAGTGCTGGGAAACAGAGAGCACTGTGCAACCTTGAGCAATGCATGGTTCCAAGGGCGCCAAAGTAACTCTGAATTCTACCACTGATCACTAAGCACTGCTTAAGCACACTAAGCAATTAACATGTCCAGATTGCTTCAGAATTGCCAGGACTCCGTCCAGTCTGGCCGGTCCGTCCGGTCCGTCCGGTCCGCCGGAAGCTTCTGGTGGGAGCCCAAGAAGCTGCTGTGGGTTTGGAGTTAGGCGTGTAAAGATGTGTAAAGTGCATATGCCAACTCAGGACGAGCTTGGTACATGCGAGTCATGTTGTTTTCTTGGAGCAGACCTGGCTTGAGTATGTTTCAGTACTTGATGATTTTTTGGTGGCCCAGAATCCTCGAATACCATATGGCGTATATGGTTGGCTCTCTATTGCCGTCGCTTTGGTTCCAGAGATTTTGTTCTGAGAGTGGAGACTTCATACATTTTCACATTGTTTTCACTACTTTTGACCATTCTTGACTGATCATATTTAGATCATGACTAAGCCACTAAGCAGACATTGCCACAGGAAGCTGTGGAGGAAGCGAGGTGATGTGAAGTTCTCCCAGGCAGCTTCTACACCGACGTTTGAGTTTTCTTTTATCCACCCATCAAAGCCTGCAGTCTCAGAATGTCTCAGATAGTCTCAATGGTCTACTTAGTCTACTTGACTGCTTTAGTCAGCTGTGTGCCTAGAAAGTGAGAAGCTAGCAGTTTTGTGAATGACAGCCCACGGGGTTTACCAAGATCTGTGTGGTCCCTTCTTGTCCCGCCAGATCTCTCCAGCATAGTGTCTGAAGTGGCGATGCGTGTGATGGAGAGATGATTGACGATTGGAGTGACCATGCTTGCAGGGGATTCAAAGATCTGGGTGAAACATAATGACCTCACTGTGACGTCACTTTAATGATGATTGGCACGGGGAATCATCCCCAAATGGTTTTATTTGCAAGCCTCCGGCTATTCTGCCAGCCTCTGGCCTAGTGACCTAATGGATGTGGGCCAAGCGAAGCCTGTAGAATAATAAGACATCTTGTGCTTGTTGACGTAAGGGCTTCTTGGTGTAAACGCTAGTTTGTGCAAAAGCTGGTTGGCACAAGAACTAAATCTGGGTTGTCCAAGAGCTAGTTTATGTAAAAGCTAGTTGGCGCAAAAGCTGGTTGGCGTACAAGTTGGTTTCTGTAACAGTTATTTTGTACAAACACCGTATCGTGTAAGAGCTACTGTAGTCCGTGTAGAAGATAGTTTGCGCAAAAGCTGGTTGGTGTAAATCTAGTTTGTGTGACAGCTAGCTTGTGTAAAAGGTATAGTAAGAACCCCATTATAGAAGAGATTCATCTACCATTGTATACCCCCGCTTCTATTTGGTTGGTTTTTTGAAAGCCTATTTCGGTAGAACCCAATAGAAGATAATAGGTAAAGATAGTTACAATTTTGGGAACTGCTATTTGATCGGTCAAGTTTGACTCCCTACTTCATTTGGGGTCGGGTGTTATTTGCAGTCAGCACCAAATAGCAGATATTGGGTTCAGGGTGTATAGACCCCATTTTTGCCTTTGACATTGGTGGAAACACCTGTGTGCTGCACGCCGGTCGTCGGTTTATACAAGAATATATTCTATTTGATAGTAGCTTCTGTCATGGACTCTTTTGAACCCACCAAATGGAAGATATTCCATAGCATCAATTTTATGATTGATACCCCAGAGAGAGTAATTGTTGAAGTTAGTGCGTGTAAAAACTAGATTGTGCAAAAGCTAGTTTGTATAGGTATAGTTGGTGTGAGCAGAGAGTGTGTGCAAAGGCTAGTTTGTGTAAAAGCTAGCTTGTGCAAACGAATGTTTGTGCAAAAACTGGTTGGTGTTACACCTTGACCGCGTGGCAAATTGATGTAAAATTGGTTGGCGCAAAGCCTGTGTGTTGTAGCTCGCTTTTGCCTTGAGCACGCAGCAAAACATTGCGAAAACGTGGAAAAGTACAGCATCCTAGGGGCTGGCCGGAGCAACAACAGACAAGACGGAGATGGGACAAAGCTGAAGAAGGAACAGGAGGAAGCGGAGGACGAGGAGGAAGATGAGAAAAGGAGGAAGAGGAGCAAGAGGAGGAAAACGAGGAAGAGGAGACAAAGGAGGAAGAGGAAGAGACGTACATGTTTACCTACATTGAAAATGGAAATACGAAACCCTTCCACAACTCCAAGGCGGTCAAACGTCGGGGTGTTGCAGCGAACAATTCCAAGCTAGGATATCTTGGTAACACAAACAAAAGCATTGTCTAAAATCTAAAACAATCTAGAGCCGGGTGGGACTGAACCGAAGGTGTGCCAAGCCACAGCAACGCAAACAAAACATAAATCTGCACAGGAAGCTAAAACTGAAGCAAAGCTACTACAAGGATTTGTTGCTTTTGGACGTCCACAAAGCACGCCGGCAGGCCAGCGGACTTCAGCCATTCTCAGGACTAAATTATATAGTGAATTGGTAGTTTTTTCAGCCAGATAAATCTTCCATTCCATTTCCTTGTATTTATTTCCACACTGCGTACAAAAACCTGGGGAGTCTACGTTTTCGTCCTATGTGAAGCATGATAGAAACATACACGAACAAAGTCCACCCTGAGATGTTTGACCATCCGTGTCTTTCTTTCTGTACACTCATTTGAGATCAATGTGCATTTTGTTGTTGACGGTGTTCAAGACAGCATTGCAGAGTTTAACCTGTGTCTCTGAAGTCACTCGAATCATCTGTGTAGCTGTCATCCTGGGGAGAGTGTGGAGAAACTTCATCACTCACTTTGATCATTTAAGTTTTTTTTAAAAGTCTCATGGCCCTTTGCTGTGTTCTTCCTTGCACATGTGAGCGCAACAGTATCCAAATTGTTCTAGAATTTGCTGCCCAGCTTTTGGTGTACCTGGTGTACCTCAAGGCACAGGAGGGCAGGGATCCAGATCATGATTGAGATCATGATCGGGTGCCTGAAATGTTCTTCATGTTAAAAGATTTAAAAGCACCAGCAGCCCGCAGCAGCCCATACCTACTATTGGCCTGAAGAAGTGATAGTACTAATTAGTACTATATAGTACTCGCCTAGTCAGTTGATGCGACATGTCGTTTTGCACACGATTGGCCGCTGCTTCTTGCGCAGATGCTTTGTTGAGAAACTCACTTGATTGTGAGGATAGTTATTCTCCAAGAAATAGGCGCTCTTCTCTCTCCCACACTGTTCAGGGAAGAGCGGCCACTTTTCCAGCAGTCAACAAATAGAGAACGGTCGGCTGCTGTACCCAGCTCTTCAAAGACTTTATGCAGTGGGACCAGATGCCAAGCGTTTATTGAAGGGTCTGAGTCTGAAGGGTTGGGTACGACAAGCAAATTGTTTGCCTCTCATCGCAAAGACTTGCGATTGAGGACGTTTAGCACGTCTTTTAGAACGTGAGTTCAGCAACGGGTGTGGCCGAGCACCGACACTCTCCGTTCAGACGTTCTATGCCCGATGCATGGATGTCTTGGATACCAGCCCTATTTTGAGATGAGTCATATCAGAGAATGTGCGGGTTAATGCATGATCATCTTGTGGAACAGCATATCGCACATGCATAGTTTTGCCCCCTGTTTCCATAGAGAAATACTGAGCTTTGTATGCAGAAACTTTCCGATGAAGTTCTACTAAGACTGTTTCTTTTTGTTATTCACAGCATGATGCAGTCTGTTCACAGCATACTCAAATCTTCAGTGAGAAACGCCTTGACCACTCAGCAGTCTGTGATCATTGTTATGAAGTGTGATGGTAAAGATGAACATACTGGCGCTGATATGATAATTTCATATAATTTCCTTGATCATTCTGCACGACAGTCTTTCTGTTTGAACATGTCCTGAAACATAGCAGTACCATGCAGTACTTCAGACCTGTACTGGCGGAGGTCGCAGTGCCAAGACGTCTCGGCTGTGCCAATGGTGTTTGGATCCTGCCTGGCAGTCAGCCGTTTGGGTCCTTGCCACGCACGCTGCCATGCTGAAGCTTTACCTGACTATAAGATACTATAAGATGCTATAAGATACTATAAGATACTATAAGATACTATAAGATACTATAACATACTACTTATTAAAAGATACTATAAGATACTATAAAAACATGATAGGATATTACAAGATACTAGACTATAAGATGAAAGATACTCTAAGATATATATATATGAGTCATAAGACTTTCCAGATTGACACCTTTAAAACTTTAAGAAACTTCTGACTTCTTAGTACTTTCTTAGTACTTTCTTAGTACTTCAAATGTAGAAGGCATGGCTTTCTCTTGTGTGTTTAGGACTTGAGGAGATGAGGACACAGAACAGCACGATGGCACGATGCTACCGTTTTCCGAAAGCTTTTTGTGCCCACCATTCCGTCTCTGAAAAGCTTTGGCACGGCAGGCCTTATCTGAAAGGCCGCAGCTTGCTCGGTATGGAATAGGGTCCCAGTTGCTTCTACGTTTCCTTTGCACTTCATAGAAGCATCTTGAACAACTGGGATATGTGCCTTCACGTGTACGTAGAACCCGTCACTCTTGCAGCCCTTGGCTGTGCTGCCATTCTGAAGTGCAGTAGCGGAGGGCTAAAGCGTTTGGTAGCCAGCCCTGAACCATCTACACCTCTGGCTGGAGAACTTCCAACTCCACCCTTTGGGATAAGATAGTCCACCATGTCTCATCTGGAACATCAGACTGACAAAGGTGTTGACTAGGGACTATTAAATTCTAGTTTGGATTGTATGATTTCTGGCAGTCGCTTCCGTTGGTTTATGATGGAATTGAATTTCGTTCAGAAAAGAATTGGCTATTGCACGCGAGGAAGTTCTGTGAGCTGTGGTGGCTGGCACCAAGTGCAGGATATCTCTGAAAGGCAAGCTTGTTTTCCAGAATCTGTGGTTTCCTATAGATTTTCCCAAAAACCTTAGAAATTGTTGTTCGATTGGTGAAGCCTGCTAGTTGGCTTCAGCACCTTTACGCTTAGTGCCTTGCAGGGAATCCTGAATTCTTTGTTCGCCTGGTTTTATCACGACCTGGTTGGGAAGTTTTATGGTCGATGCCTCCGAACGGTGGCAGATTGCTGCTACCAGCCAAGAAGGTGCGGTCCCTCCAGCAATCTTCTTCCATGAGCAATGAAGTCCAAGACTGCGCTCAACCCCTCCAACAATCTCCAATATCAACCACACAGACTAATTGATGGACCAAGTTGCGATGTGGCGATGCTTTGGCTGCGAGTTGGCCAACTGTCCAATCCGTTGCAGATTTCGTTAGGAGTTTTGGAAGTGGAGCGTTTGGACTACAGGTCCATGGATCTTGTGGTTGCGCGAGGGCCGCACACAATGACTTGGTGCAGCTTTCAGACAAATCGCTGACCCACAGCGAACGTTTGAAGAGGGATGAAAGGCTTGGGATCAGTGGAATGGGCCACCAATCTCGTTTCCTTGAATTGAATGCCTTGGAGTCCCATGGAAGCCAAATCATTGATGAGTCACGGTGGATCAAAGTCTCAACAATCTCCAATATCTGATAACATCTGTAACATCTGGTATTGTCTTGAGAGTATCCTGAAAAAATCCAATGATTGATAATCATCTTCCTATTGCAATGGCCAAATCATGGGTGAATTCCTAATTTTTGGGCAAACCCAACGGGTGATTTTGGTGTCGAGAACATAATTGGACAGCCATGACCATTGCCAGGTTGCTGTGGGACATGGCGGCCGTGGCGCCCACACCGGTTTGAAGTCAAAGTCAAGGCCTTGGGATTGATAAACCATTGCATTTTGGGCACCTTCTTTTTGGACAGACCCATTTTCGAGATCTGGTTTTGCACTCAACAGCTACTGTGACCACCATCTTTTTTCTCTATCCGGACAGAATGAGCCAAGTTAGGATAGTTAGGCAGGTTGCTCATGACGCATGCTGCCTCCAATTTTTGTGTGCTCCAGCTATCAATGCAGGATCGACGGAGGTAATTGTTCAGACCACTGTCTCTGAGCTTGCACATTCCGTTGGTTTGGCTCAACAGCGAATCAAAGGTCAGGACTGCTGGCTCCTATCAGGGACAGGTTCCATCCCAAATCCCATTCAAGAAGAGCTCATGTGGCCAGCTTTTTGACGCAGTTTCGACAGCATCATTTCATCCCTCCGGGATCTTGAAACTTTGGTGACAGCTTTCTGAACCGCACCACCCTCAATATGCTTCAATCTTCACCCAGGGATTGTAGCACTGCTCAATTCATGGCGCCATGGGCCGAAAAGCCAACAATCTGCCAGCGAGGCTGGTGATGCCCAGTTCAGCAAATAATGCCAATAATGCAGTAAATTCAGGTAGATACCATATCATGTATATATATATACATATATATATATATCTCCATATATGATCATATATGCCTTGGACACTTACGGATGATAGACCTTACAGGTTGCACAATTCATTTTGATCTCTCAGCTTTGCACACTGGTTAATGGCAACGCTGTATTTTTGCATCAGGAGACATTACCTATACTACACATGCAACATGAACGCATGAAACTTCATGAAACTTTACAGTAAGCAGGTGGGGGTTCCAAATCGTCTGGCAATGGTGTCAGATCTTATGATATTTTTAGTTGGAGCGCCCTGCAGGCTCGCCCGGAAGAAGAAGATCAAGGCGCTGGACCTAAACTGAATCCCTTGACGGGCAGAAATTTGGATGCATCAAATGTATCCAACGGCTATGAGATTG